TGGTATGTGATATGTGAGTGTATGGTGTGGCTGTAAGTGTGTATTATGTATATCTGCTATGTAATTTCTACATATCTATGAAATCCTGGAATTTGCTGTGTAGCTGAGACTACAAGTCAGGGCTAAAGACATACGAATTGAGAGGAGAACATTTAACATGTGTAACCTACACAGATTCCTTTTTAAAATTCATATGAGGGGAAAAGAAATTAGCACGTGCATGTGTGTGTGTGTGTGTGTGTGTGTGTGTGTTGGGGTGGAGGGTTGGCCATCTGCAAACCTTTTGATCAACGATGATGACCTGCCCGCGTGATAGATGGGTGTGATAGTGACAGAAATAACGTGAGAGTAACCAAGCAGCATCTGATTGGAATTAAGGCCCATTTCACGAAATGGAACCTGTCTCTGACACTGCTCTGGTGGCCAAGGACCTGAGACTATATTGAACACGGACCTAGGGGAAAAACAAATACTATTGCTCTACTAAAGGAACAGAGCAATTTAATGACATTCTGCCATATGTGGAGATCTTGCTCAGCCTTCATTGGAGAAGCTTCTTCCTGTTGTCAATGTGAACTAATGCAGAGACCCACACTGGACTATGTGCAGAGAGTGAGAGACCTTGCAACACTCGGTCCTAAAAGGGGATGTCTCCATCAACCCCCTCCCACAGCGCTCAGGGAACTACGCAGAAGGTGGAAAGATTGCAAGAGCCAGAGGAGATGGATGACTCCAAGGATACAGTGTCTTTCTGTTACAACAGGACTGACTCACATATGAACTCACAGAGGCTGTGACAGCATGCATGGAGCCTGCACAGGTCCAAACCATATAAAATAAGTATAAATAAATCTTTGAAAAATTACATGTCTGAACTATGCCAGGTAGGAATGACTGGAGAGATCAAAACTCTTAGACCCGAGTCTGGCCAAATGGAGGGTCTCCACTTCAGACGGTCCTTCCCATGACTCATTGTCCTTTCCGTAGTGACATATAAGCCAACCAATCAATCTGTAGTGGCCTTTGGTTGAAGCTATAGCTCATTAGTAGAGTGATTCTCTTGAATGCACACAGGCATGGGGTTCAGTCTCCAACACCACAAAGAGGCCACCAATCCACTCTCACTGTTAGTCGGGAAATTTATAGATATGTGTTAAACTCAGTTCACCTATAGTGTACTTTAGCTATGAAATTTGTCTGTTGGTTTTTAGCTGGGAGGATGTAGCTAGAGATGAGAAACCCTATCTCGAAAAATACAAACAAACAAAAAAGGGCTGCAGCAGTAGGAAGGTTGAGAAGCACAGCACTGTATGTTAGTTAATAAAGTAGGACGCTGCAAGGTGTTTTCCAGCATTTCATCTATCATGGCCTTTGGTTTCTAGTTTAGGGGAACTGTGTCTTGTGGCCATTTTCTTATATTTGCTGCTTCTTTGTTGTGTTTTGTGTTTCCGTCAGGATAATTGTGGCCCCGGTTTTAATTTTTCCATGCTACCACCTCTTTTTTGTTTGACTTTTTGCAAGCCCATCAGACGAGATAGAGTTTTTCTGTGTAGCTTTGTAGACCAGGCTGGTCTCAGACTCGCAGAGATCCACCTTCCTCTGCCTTCTGAGTGCTGGGATTAAAGGCGTGTGCCAACACCGTCTGGTAATGTTGTGACGCTTTAATACAGTTTCTCATGCTGTCATGACACCCCAACCAAAATCATTTTGTTGTGGCTTCATAACTGTGATTTTTCTACTCTTATGAATTGTAATGTAAATATCAAATAGGCGGGATGTCTGATATGTGACCCCCAATGGGTCGTGTCTATGCTCCCTAAACTACTCAGAAGGGATGCTGGCTACAGCAGCAGGTACAAAGACTCGCAGCAGTCCTGGTGTGGACTTGCAGTAGTGGACGCCCGGCTCTCCCCTTGTGCTCTCAGCAGGGTTCGGAGACAGCGGCCCTAGGGTACTGGCTTGGAAAAACATCCTTAATAGGTTTTCAGAGCTGAGCAAATTAATAGCTAAGAAATAAAAGGAGGAGAAAATAAATAATTCAGAAGCAAAAGGAATAGGGAAGGAAAAAATACAGAGTTAAGTTTCAAAAAGAGGGTAAGTATGGATTACAGAGATTAAAAAATAGTGGAGAAAATGTTCTAGAACAGGTGCAGAAAGGGAGAAAAGTGAAGCCATAAAAACCTATTCAGATGAGTCAGAAGCTAAAACAAAAACTAAACAACTAAAGTACCAAAGCAAATATTAAAAATTAAAATGCACTAACATAGTCCATGCCTCTCGATGGTTGGGATGAACAGAGTTTTTCCTACCCCCTTGGTCATCTTTTACTGCAGTCTTTGCAGGTGGGGCAAGGGCTTTAAACAACGTAGACCAGGGTGTCTTCCCTACCGAAGGGGACTGTATAGGAGTGTCCTTTCTTCAGCTGCTGGCAGCTTCATCTCTGGTGCGTGTGCGGGGCTCTCTGGGATGGGTGTGGAAGGCACACCCACATGTGTGTCCACCATTGCTGCTGGGCACACTCTCTCCTTCTCCACTCTGCCTGTTTTTATTCTTCGTCTCTTGCCTAAGAATCCTTGTGCTCACTAGTGGGATTACGCCAAGTCAAGCACACTCCTCACATTCCTGCCTTCTCGCTTGCAGAGGCAGAGGAGCTGTCCTCCTTATGTCCCTGTGGATTCTTGCAGGGAGTCTCAGCTTAAGGCTCTCAATCAGAGCGTTTACCACCGTGCCCACAATTCCACATTGCCAGGCTGTCTTTTTGCCAGTGAGGCTCTGGCCTCAACCTCCTGACGTTGTGATTATAGGTGTGTGACGTTTCGCCTAACTGCCTTGGAAGAGCCTCTCTTGAGCTTCTTGGCTCATATGGCTGGGTGATCTTTCCCTCATTTCTGCTTCAGCTTCATGGCCAACTTGGCACCGTTGGCATCAGTCTTAAGTTTGTCACTAGTGTACCCTTTTCCACTTAGGTGTATTGTTTCTGATAAACCTTCATTGTTAATTTCTAGGCTACAGGCTCCTCAGCACAGTTAACTATTTCTGGGAAGCTTGGGTGGGGTACACTACATGTTTCTTTGCCTTAGGGTCCAGCTTCATAGTCATCAGCATAAACGTTTTGTCTCTAACCTCAAATTGATTAATTAATGTCTAGTGTTCTTGGAAGAGTTATTCAGTCTTGAGTCTAGAAAAGTTTTTAGTGGAAGGAGATTATTTCAGTTTACAAAGTGAAATTAACTGCTATATCAAATGTCTCAGGACTGCTAGGTTGGCCTTGTTAATGCATAGTCATGCTATTATGTAACAGCCTTTCAAGAGATAATTTTAAAATACAGGGGAGGTTTCCTTGTCATCAGATATTTAAGTCACTCCCTGGATGATTGATGGTCATGGCTGATCTGTTTATCATCATCAAGCTTGTTGGTCTTTGGTGCAGGGCTGCATGATATCCTAACAAAGTTCAGGTCCACGTGTGACTCAGCTTCCTTCCTCAGGACAGATTGTATGGTGCACTCGCTATCACTTGTTGATAATATAATACATTGCCTGTGGCTTTAGTGACATTTCTTGGCCTTTGAGTGCAGGGGTTGGGGTAGGCCACGTGACAAGTCCAGGCAGAGCCCTTTAGTGATATCGCAAGCAGGGAGGGGAAATGTAGGGGATGAAGATATATAATGCCTAATAACAAACGACACAGCCTCTTCCGGGTGACTCTCTATCATCACCAGAGAAGGACCCACCATTCCTCATCTTTGTCTCTGCCTCTTTTTGCCTGGGAAGGAATCAAAGACTCTGATCTGGGCCAGGACCAGGGAAGTAAGACTAAGTACTGCAGTTGGTAGCCCAAGAGGAGACAGAGGAGGACCGATTGAGCACAAGGAAGAGCTTTCTGTCCCCAAGGTATTATGCTCAAAACCTCTTCAGTTCAGCCTGCCTAGGGGCTGAGTTTGTGGGTTGGAACACATCTTCTGGGGCACCTGAAGTAGGAGCTAAGGTGTGGGGGACAAATGCAGTCTGAGCCTCCTTGGTAGCAATCATAGACTTTAATTATTAATTGTTATTTCTGATTTGTTCGTTTCAGCCTGTAGGTGCTGGTTGAAGTGCAGAGCTCAGAGAGAAACAGTCTTTTAATTTGACTCTTAGAAGAACAGCTGCTCCCAGGCTCCATCTCCTTCCTGTCTGCTCAAAACTCTCCAAATACAAGAGGGTGAGAGTATTTGTTCCTTTATCTGAGGTCCACATGAGTGACAGGAAGGGGAAAGGTGACACCAGAGAAAGATCCTCTGATCCTCTTCTTTCTTCTTCTTCTTCTTCTTCTTCTTCTTCTTCTTCTTCTTCTTCTTCTTCTTCTTCTTCTTCTTCTTCTTCTTCTTCTTCTTCTTCTTCTTCTTCTTCTTCTTCTTCTTCTTCTTCTTCTTCTTCTTTTCCTCCTCCTCCTCCTCCTCCTCCTCCTCCTCCTCCTCCTCCTCCTCTTTCTTCTTTGAAACAAGGCCTTTGTGTATCCCAGCTGGCCTCAAACTCCCTATGTGGCCAAGGATAACCTTGAACTTCCAATCCTATTTCTACCTCTTGAGTGCTGGGATGGCCAGTGTACACCACCATGCTCACTTTACTCATTTCCTCTTACCTTTCTCATGCCAAAGTTCACCTTCTGATAAAGGCAGAGGTCTTGAAGGCAGATCCTAGGCCAACATCTAGGAACCATCAAATCTGATTTGACACTAATTTATCTCGTGGGTGCCCTAGAACAAGTTTCTTCCATCTGAAAACTGTGGTATGCCTCAGACTTCAGAAATCTCTTATGTTGCCCTATAAGGTGCAGAGGCAGGGGGTATGGCTAGCAATGGTGCACAGTAAAAGATAGGATCTGGGAGGAGATGGGGTCTCATCCAGTGATATGTATAGAAAGGCTGTGGCCTGGGTCTCAACATTTAGCAGTCACCCGAATTCTAGTAAGTTTTCAGATGTGTCTTTTGAATGGAGAAGAGAGGAAGGGAGAGACGGAGGAGAGAAGAGTTGCACTGATATTCCATCATATAAGAGACTTCAAATGGCTCTCCCTCCTGAGGTGAGCCCTAGCTCCGAACCTCTTCTCTCAGAAATGTCTCTCAGGCTTGACTCCTTATTTCCACCTTAGTTAATCTTTTAACAGAGAAAAGCTGCAGGTCGGGTCAGAACTTCTCACACTTCCCAAACAGGCACAGCGAGGCGAGGCCAGGCTTTTGATAGCTGAGGAAGGGACCAGCACAAGTCTGCGGATAGGAGGGAAAAGCCTAGGAGGTGAGGGTGCAGGCTGTGAGTGGATCAGCGTGATTCCCAGTTGATTGTCGCAGGCAAGGGTAGGCGTTCAGCACTGCCTAAGCTTCCTTGGGACCGTTGTGGACCTGTGCGGCTATGTTGCTGGACTGGAACAGGAACGTTGAGTAGGCCAGGTCAGCTTCCTCCTTGGATGACTGAGGAGCAATAGGAGAGGCGTTAGTAGATGGGCGAGAAGAAGGGTATGCACGTGAAATTCTGCGTTTCCCATCTCTGATGGAGTAACACAAGCTTCTGAGGCCTTGCTCTCAGTCCAGCCCCCGTGCTCAGCAGGAAGGGCTAAATTCTGAGAAATGGAAAGTTGCAGCCTCTAAAAATATCTCCCACTGTCTCACTACCCCCTTATGCAAAGTGGAGTGGAACACCCTGGGTCGGTGGGGGCTGTCCCCAGAAGCTATGTTATTGTTGTCCACAGATGAGGTGGCCACGGTTGTTGGTGGCCAAGGTGTCCTGTGTTTTCTCTTTCTGCTGCCCTAGAAGGGTAACTTTTTTAGCACTGTCCAGATGGCAGAGATTCATCTCTAGGATTAACTCCACATCCTGACTCTGCTAAATGCAAGATCTCTGATAGGACGAGGGGGAGCAAATACAGTAAAAAGTATCAGTACCCAACAGTGCTCTTCATAAGGAGACTCAAGGAGACAAAAAAGGAGGGCAATTTGCAACTCAATGGCAGGAGTTGCCTCTTCTGAGGTTTCATGATACTGGTTGAGGTGTGCAAAGGCTTCTGGTGGTGACCTAGGTGCCCACTATGAATAAACATCTAGCCTCAGGCCAAAGGAGAGTCCTGAGGAAGCTCTCAAAGGAGGATGTGTGGCCATTGAAAGGCCTTAAGGCCCCCTAGCTCAGGAAGACCACCCACTCAATCCCCACTGTTAACATGCCACCTTCCTCTTCCGTCTGTGACCACATCTTCAGGTTCACAGCCTACAACTGAGCCCCCCTACTCCTTCTGAGGCTTCACACTGAAGGATCTGTCTCCTTCTCACAAAGTCCTCTCGGATACAGTATTTGTAACGTCTTCCCTGTTTGGGGCTTAATCTCCAGATGGGGGTGATTTTGTCCCGATATCCAACTGCAGTCTGAATTCCCTGCCATGCAGTGGGATGCCCTTCTCCCTTACCCGTTTTGCCTTCTTGGATTCTTCTGGCTCTGTGGCAGTCTCAGTGGTAGTCACGATTTCTGCATGGAGAGAGAATGCCCTTAGCCCTAACGATCTCTGTTCCTTCCCAGGTGGACAGGTTCAATTCTGCTCTCCCAAGGGCTGAGCATTCTCAAAATACATACCATCTTTTCTTTCGAGAACTGTCTCCTCTATGTCTGGAGAGGCCCCCATGTTGTCATTGCCTCCAAAATCCCTGGAGTTCTTGAAGTCTGCCATGTTGATGTCTGTCCTGTAGCTGCTGATGGACATCCGGTCTGTTGGGCAGAGGGGTGGGTGTGGGGGCAGGGCTATGAGTGAGGAGAGCAGGGTGCATTGCTGTCCCACAGCCCAAGCGACACCAAGGAGTGGTACCTTTTGATGCTTACCTCCAAATCAAAATAGACTTGGCAGTCAAGACTCTAAGACCTTTGCTAATCTATGAATCAGTTCACAGCCCTCAATTCTAGCTTAAATCAGCCCCACGAAAGGTGGTTATTACCCTGTCTTGAGCCACAAAGAAATGGAGGGATACCTGAGTCACGTGGCTGATTAGCTGAACAAGAGGTGAGGTGGGGAGCATTCTGGGTACTCACCTACATTCTTCCGGTGTCGGGCTCTTGCCACCCACACAGCCACAGCACCTGCAGCCAGCACCAGACCCAGGGGCACCAGGGTGGAGAACAGGACTTTGGAGCTCCCCTTAGGTCCATCAGCACTGCAAGAGGGATTAAGTCAGCCCACCACTGAGAAGGAGATCTCAGGAAGTGCTGGATGGCTGTCCCAGCTAGAGGTTCCCCACCCCCAGTCTATCTACTCCATTTTTTGGATGCAGTTCTTAAGTCTGTTTTGCTAAGAACCACCCCATACCCCCTGAACCAGCAAAGCAAGGACCTAGCCTTCTCTATATTCAGGCTTGAGACATTGAGCTGGACTTCTCCAGCCGTGGGAGAAGGGATGTGCACCCTCTCCTCCCCTGACAAGCATAAGCCAAGGCTGTGAGAGCTGTCTACTAGTCTCTTCCACACTCTGCTACTTGGTTCTAGTGGCCCAGACTTGGGGCTTGGCCTCTGGAATGTTCTCCGAGTGGAGAATCTACTCACCTGCCAGCATCCACAGCTGCTCTGTTCTCCTGAACTTGGTCTCCCACAATGTCTATCTCTCCTTCCTTCTCAAGAAGGCTGGGATTTGGAATGGCTTTGTTCTCGTTCTCGCTGACATCGGATTCAGCCACCTCTTCTTCTGGAGCAACATTTGCAGGTGCGTTTGCATCCACTGGGCTGACTTGGCGTGACCCTGAAGCACAGCAAAGCAAAGCCTGTTATGAGTTTTCCTCTGGGTTCTTATGCCTGTGGGTTGGGGAGAAATCACAGGGTGAGACCTCAAAGCTACTGGGGTAGGCTGTGGACTAGTGCTAGGCTTGGTAGTGAAAACCTTCTGTAGACCACAGACATTATTTTCTACTATTACTGCCCCCTCATCATGATTTCCTCCATCCAGTTCTCTGCCCCATTCTCACCAAGTTCATTTCCATCATCAAAGATCTATGTAACAGATCCACCTGTGACAACAGACTGTCAGAGAGATTTTCACAGCATCAGATCCTGTCCTAGGGCTTCTAAAGAGCCAGTCTTGCTGAACTGTAGTGAGCCAGTGTTGCTGGACTCAGACTTCCTGAGATATCCAGGGATCTAAAAAACCCTTATTATACAAGATATCTTATATGACTTTTTCTTTCCAAGTGTGTGTGTGTGTCTGTGTCTGTGTGTCTCTCTGTGTGTGTTTTCTAAGACAGGATTTTCTCTGTGTAATAGTTTTGACTGTCCTGGAATGAACTCTGTAGACCAGGCTGTCCTCACACTAATAGAGATCCCCCTGTCTCTCTCTCCCAAGTGCTGGGATTAAAGGCACGAACCGAACCACTAACCACCACCTGACTTACATGACATTTTAAGCAGAGGCTGGGAATACAAATTTACAGATGAGCTTGCCTTAATTGTTTCTCCCCCTTTATTCTTTCGGTACTAAGAATTGAAACCAGGGCATTGCACTCCCTAAGCACATGTTTTTTTGTTGTTGTTGTTTTTTTTTTGTTTTTTGTTTTTGTTGTTTTTTTTTTGGTTTTACGAGACAGGGTTTCTCTGTTTTGGAGGCTGTCGGTCCAGCCTGGCCTCGAACTCACAGAGATCCGCCTGCCTCTGCCTCCCGAGTGCTGGGATTAAAGGCGTGCACCACCAATGGCCGGCCAAGCACATGTTTTAATCCAAGCTATATTCTCAGTCCTGTGCCTCAGTGTTCTTGGTCAAGATGTAGGTACCTAGCCATCTTTGGAGAGCAGTCTTGGGCAGATGGAGGTTGATCAGTGTGACTCTGAAATTGCTATGTAGGATTTCTGGATGGGGAGGGGGCTTCATGCTGATGTGAGAGGCACCTGTGGGACTTGTCTTACTACTGAGGTTAATCAGAAAAGCTCCTACTGTTTGCTTCCCTACTCCTTTCCTCTCATAGAAAAACCCGGCTGTTATTCCTGACGGAGAAGCTTCAAGTTGGGGGGTCTTTGGTCAGCCCTGCCATAGGGTGCTGCGGGGTGCAGGCACTGACTGCCCTTGGAGACTTACCCCCTGTCTTCTCTTCAACTGCTACGTAGATGGCTGTAGTTTCTCCGTAGACCTGGCCTTTCTTCACCCCACACCAGTACCAGCCCTCATCTTCCTTCGTGACTGGGTTCAGGGTCATGGAGATGACTTGATTGTTCGGGTCACAGCTCACAGAGGACTGGCGGGCTGCTTCGTCGTGGCTGGGCAGGATGCGGCAGCCCTTGTTGCTCCACTTGCACCAGTATTTCTCGTGGGAGTAATATTTGCATGGATAGTGGCAGGAGAGCGTGAGGGTCTCTCCTAGTACAGCAACCTCGTTCTGTGGTGTCACCTCGAGGTTTGGCTTTCCTGTAGCTGGCAAAGACACGCAGAAATTAAGACCTGGAGATGCCACGGGGGAAGGAAAGTGGTGGTTTTGGTGTGTCATGTGCATTTCCTCTGAGGACAGCATTGTAATACACTGTTCTGAATACCTAAGAAGCAGAGGATACGCTAATAGAATGACTGTTGATGATCACTGTGCCGGCCCAGAGTTTGGCATAGAACATACAGCCTTGCTTGATGGCCTTCTTTGCTCCCTTACTTTTCTTTCTTGTCTTTTTGTTTGTTTGTTGTTTTGTTTTTGAAACAGGGTTTCTCTCTCTAGCTGTCCTGGAACTCACTTCGTAGACCAGGCTGTTCTTGAACTCACAGAACTCTGCCTGCCTCTGCCTCTGCCTCCCGAATGCTGGGATTAAAGGTCTGCGTCATCACACCTGGCCCCTTACTTTTCTTTACTTATTTATTTTTTTCTAGGCTTAGCACAAAGAGCATGTTCAACATTCTACTAATATTTGATATCAGGAAGTGTTGCAAGTGATGACTGAAAGAACATGGGGTGCTGGTCATGGGTGTGGAAATGTGACCTCTGGACAAGTAGCTCCTTCTGACACCAGTGTGGATGGAGGCGGCACAGCAGGCAGGATGGCTAGGGGGCAGAAGAAGCTGCCCCTGGAATAGTCTTCAGCCTCCCCACCTCTGCTGCTCCATGTCGACTCTCACCTTCAGCAACCTGGAGTTCTACAGTGCTTCTCCAGCGAGAGTCACCGTCGGTGAGACACCAGTAGGAGCCGGAATCCTGGGTGGTGAGCTGGTTGAGGATGACGGTGTAGCTGCCGTTGCCTGGCTGATCGTACAGTGCCAGTCGGCCCTCATACTGTTCATGCACCACCCCCTGGCTCTCCACCAGCACCGGGCAGTGTCCGTTTCCATCTGCTTCCCAGCGACACCAGTACTTGAGGCTGCTGCTTTCCTTGGGGTTGTAGGGACAGACTATAGCCACAGAGCCTCCTGTGACACCCTTTACCACAGAGCGACTAGGGGGCATGATAGATTCTGGAAGAACAGATGGGGATGGTGTGAAAAGACAGAAATACCCAAACAGTCATGCATGCCCCAGGCAACTTTTCTTCCCAGGACATCCGCCGTGGAGAGAGGAAAGTTTAGACAAATCCCACCCCCCGCTCAGAAAATGAGATCTATTGTATTTATGTCTGAGTCTGAAGCTATAGTCTGGGGGTCAGTCTCCAGTGACTTCAGTGCGAAAATCTCAGTGCTCTCTTCCCACTTCATTCTCAGCCAGGAATGAGCAGCATTTAAGAGAGTATTAGCCCTTTTCCCTTGGCTTCTTATAAAGTCTCCCTCTAGACATTCTTTTAATCTGTTTCTTAGCATATCCTTCAAAATGGCTTAATGTGTTGTACCTAATTTAAGAAAATATATTCAAAATAGGTATACTTTATAATAGAAACTAAAACAATGAGGTATGAGTTCAGTAAAGACCCCAAGAGTCATCTTCAAGGAAACAAAAGTTAATGCAATGATCCAGGGGGAACCCATGACGACTGATGATGCCAGGGATGCTAATGAAGACCCAGAGTTGGCAATAGGAGAATGGTGTCAGGAACATAGGCCCCTTAAAGAAAAGCCATAAGGCCAGGTACTTTGAACTTCAAGTACTGACTTGGGGCTTCTCATGAGGGCGAGTCTGTGCACTGTGCTCCAGGATGAAAGAGAGCTTGGATTGAATCGTCCTGCCTTCTTGATAGCTCATGGAGGTTGTTCCTAATAACAGACAACCCTTAGAGCTGTGTGTGTGGAACATTTAGGTGCTGGGGTATTGCCTTTCCTGGAAGCTCTAAAGTCATGGTACACTGATGCTCTCCCATCTGAGTGTGGGGCTAGGGTGTACAACTTCTCTGGAGTTGAGTGGGCTGGGAAGAGGATGTGGGCCTACCATGGTACTGAATTCCATCTACTAATCATGCCTCCAGCAGGGGCTCTACCTTCCTTATTCTTGTTACCCAGAGATAACCATCAGCAGGCCCTTGACAACGCAGAAGAATAATTGGGAACTAGCATAAGGAGAGGCTGCATTTTCTAGATCCCACAAACTGCCTCCCACTTAGTTCAAGACTTTGCAGCGAGTAGATATTGCTGACTGACATGAGCATTGATGAATGCATCGGAGAATTAAGCTAGTATCTCATCTGCCATCCCATGCCATCCCATCTTGCTTGCCTTTTGGAGGTTCTCACCTTCATTTACAAAGAGTTGCCAAGCTTGGATGGGCCAACCTTCTTGAGGCAGACCAGAACTGTGGGCTCCACACAGGTAGTGTCCCGCGTCTTCCTTCCTCAGGCCTGTGATCAACACACTGAAACGGCCATTGTCATCTTTGCGGGTTAGCAGGATCCTGCCCTCAAAGGCTGGATCCCTCTTCCCCAGGGTGTTGATGATCACATCACAAGTTTCCTTGTTCATCCGGCACAGATATTTGGCTTCATTTGCCACCTCACGGCCCAAATCACAGTTAAAAGCTAATGAGGCTCTCAGATCTCCATAAACCAGCTCTGGCTTAGGCTCTATTACCTGGAGGTCAACATTGTTTTTATCAGCACTGGAATCTTGCCCAGCCTGGCAAACATACAGCCCAGCATCACTGGGTCTTAGGTGATCAATGTCGACAGTGAATAGTTCTGGGTTGGTCCCTTTCATAAAAAGAGTTGTTCTGCCTTTATACTTGGGGTTCACATATTCAGTAGAGTCAATGACAAGTTCACAGGTCTGACCTGTCTTCTTACACAAGGATTTCTTGCTATGAGCATTCTCCTTTTTGAAAGGGCAGGTGATGGTCACTTTTCTGCCCAGGTCCTTTGTGTAAACGTGAGTATCAACTGGAAGCTCAGGAGCTGAGGAATAAAGAACAGGGGTAAATTACAATTTGTGTTTGTAACAGAACCATTTGCTATTCCTAGCGAGGGTTCTGGGTGGGCCACTGACCTAGAATGGCCTCCTCCCTAAAGGAACACTGTCAGAATTTTTCTGTTGGAACTTACACAACGATACACCAAAATAAAGGCTCCCAAAGCAAAGGTTTTATTTTGACTTTCTCCTACACTTTTGTTTTTCAAGCCATTATTCCCAAAGGCAAGCCATAGGATTCAGAATTCCTTTTCTCCAGGGCAGACCGTAGAAACCATAACCTCTTTACCCTAGCTATCCACAAACTCTAAAAATAGTACTTTAACCTTCCCATTTTTCTTTGTAACAATGGGAAAGGAAGAAACACCTGACATACCATTCTATACATCAAGGTCTTCACTGTCTCACACCCCAAAAGAAGCACTAGAGCTGAAGGGACAAGGAGAACTGGATCAGATGACCCTTGCTGGAATTTCCTCTCAGTCTACGGCTGCTTGCACACACCTGTTTTCTCTCGTCTCTGTATGGCCACCCCTGCTTCACGGAACCCAGTATAAAAGTTGCATTGGAACCAGACCTTTGCATGGTCATTGTGAAGGTTCCTGTGATAGTAAAACTTCAATAAATGGGGGATGGAGAGATGGATCAGTGGTTAAGAACCCTGGATGCTTTCCCAGAGGACCATGGTTCAATTCCTGGCACCCACATAATGGCTCACAAGCACCAGCAACTCCAGTCCCATGGAATCTGGCACCTCCTCTGGCCTCTGAGGCCACCAAGGACACATTAGGTGAATAGAAATATATGCAGACAAAACATTCATACACATAAAATAATTAAATAAAATTTAAAAATCAACTTGGTTAAATGAAGCTATGTGTTCTCTTGTTTCCCTGTCTTTTGTTGTGGAGGTATTGGCTATGACTTTAATGAGTGATGTTAGCAGTCACCCATCCAACTCCTCTTCCAGGGACATTCATCTCCTCAGGAAGGGTTTCCCTAGCCTTGCACTAGTTTCTCCCTTCTCTGTGTCCTCATGAACTTCTTCATTAGCCGTCATATCCAGTCTAGGCTCTCACTCTATAGACTGGACGTTGGAGACATTTTCTTTATGTTTTCCCTGTCTGCTGTGACTGGCACACCATCTCTTTTTGGTAGGTGCTAAATTAGCATGTGTAGAAAAAAGAGTTGAACATGAATTGTCTAAAAATAATATTCCAAATATTCTGGGCTGCCTTAAGAAGCAGAGTCTGGTATTGGACATGTTTGATTGGATCCTGTATTCCCAGCATCTACAGTACCCTTCTAGGCATCAAGATGTGGTCAACTGAGAACACTCCTCATCTCTTAGAGATTTGTGGTGTTATTACTCTCCATGACCATAGGAACGACTTTCCTATGGCACACGCATCCCAAAGAACAATGCATATGCTCAGGGCCCCTGTGAATTGCCTCCCTTGTGTTTGTTTTCTCTTGTAACTTTCCTTGGACAATCAGAGGTGCCCTCACCGATGAACTCTTGTCAAAAAACCTTTTTCTCTCTCTCTTCTTTCAATTACAGTGGGTTTGTTTAGTGGCCAACCTCTTCAGGGGCCTAGACTTCAGTTAAAAAGAATCTAATTCATGTTGCTAGTTCTAATGAACTAACAGATTGATCCCACTAAAATCTATGATGATGCCTCCTGTGGCCTGAAGCCTTGATCTAAAGGAACATTATGGTAGGAATGTAAGGATTCTTAAACCTCTCTTGGTGTATTTTCTACATCATTGGGTGCCATAGATGTTCTGTAAACGGATGGCATGACTGCTTCAAGGTAAGGTTAAGCAGGAGGTTTTAATTGCAGATAGGAGGGAGAGTACAGCCAGGCAACTGAAAGTGTCCAGAGCATGGAGGGAAAGGAGAAGACTGAACATGGTCAGCAGAATAGAAGAGAAGTGGGAACATGGTGAGGGAACAAAGAAAGTGTGAGTCAAAAGGAGGGAGCATGGTCCAAATATCAGAGTGTAAGGAGAAACGAGTAGCTGTGGAAAGGGAAACCTATGAATTGGAAAAGCCTAGACTAGGGAGGGCCAGGGTGGCAGCATGGGATTTGAAATGTATAACGGGTACTTGTGATACTGAGGGAGCCTGGAGGCCAGCATGCACTTTTATAGGCACCTCAGACAGTCATTTGTATTTCTGTCAGTGGTAAGGGAAATGGCACCTTTAGGGGAAGGGAACCGGCTTCATAAGTTCCTGAGGAATGATGGCTTTTGTCTGTCCTCCAGAATTTGGGGAAAAGGAGTTTCCTTTGGACCTGACAGACATCATGTCTCAACTCTATCAAATACAACAAAAGCTGTCCTCCTGGCACCTATTTAAGTCTAAGATGCTTGTTAGAGATCCAAAAGACATAGGAAGTTTTACCCATTTCCTCCAGATATGTCTCATGTGTTAAGAGCCTTTGCCTCAGGAGTGAGGATACTTTAGATTTCATGTCAGGATATCCTTCTGTAGGAGATATCTTCCTCAGGTAAACTCTCATTGTACCTAATTGATTTAAACTATTTTCCCCCAGAAGTCCAGGGAGCCTGGATTCTTACCTTGACTGACCTCCAAGCTGACGTCAAAGAACAGGCCTCGGTTACTGGTGCCCAGACCGCACTTGTAGCTCCCAGTGTCATTCTGGGTGAGCTCTGCAATGTTAACCATAAATGTGCTATTTTCTGGGAAGTTGATGAGTTTGGCTCTGCCTGCATACTCCTTGGAGATGTAGCCATTTGAAGAGATGAGGGTTGTGCAGAGGCCGCTGGCTCCTTGCCGGCACCAGTACTTCCGGCTGTGTCGGTTGACAGAGGTGGCTGGATAGTAGCACGTGACAGATACCGAGTTACCTACCACACTACTCACATCCTGGGGACCAAATATGGGGCTTTTTGTGGAGACAGCTGTGGAAACAGAAGACAAGAGTTTTAAGAACTGAGGGAGGTCAAGTGGGATGAAATGATCCACATCCGAAGGAATATGATTTTCTAATTAATATACATTCCCTAGTTATTTACATGATACTATAGCCACATAACATTGTATGAAATGAAATGACCGATTAATCATAATTTGGTTCCATTTTAATTGTAATATATGTGATAGGTAAGTAAACTCCATTTTGTACCAGGCATTCACTTTAGTAGCTGTTGGCCTCTGATCTAAATTCCTAAAAGCTCTGACCTCTTGTTCCCGCCCCTAAATTGTGCAATTGTTGTGAAATGATTAACAGTTTGCTCTGGCTTCTGTAAACATACTTATCTCTGTGGGTAGGGGCAATGGCAGTTTATCCCGTAGCTATAAATTCTGCAGAGGTGGAATAATTGTGATGTTTGCCTTTAAAATCCTTTCCCCCATCTGTTCAGGTGTGGCACATTTCTGATTTGGCTTATAAATACCTTCCCTTTTAGCATAAATAATAGTTTTGACTAATTATATCTGTAATTGGGTCTGTGACCTTTTCCCAGGGGTCTCAAACTCCACAACATTCTTGGAGGCCCCAGTGAGATCCTGGGGGGAACCCCCCTCCATGCTTGGGGCTAGGAATCCAGGATAGGCACCAAGTAGGGGCAAGTCTGATGCAGATTTGGATATTCAGGGGCATCAGAAATCATGGCTACCACAAATTAAAGAGTCATTAGAATCAGGCCCTAGTTGGGGGCAAATACCACAACTGGGAGGTCCGGCATCAAACAGCCCTAGATGAGGGAAAGTACTTTTGTGGACTTGGAGGCCTCGGGGTGTCCCAGACTCTGACAACTGAAAATTTGCATCTTAACTCCATGTCTGCCTCATGGAACTCTGGGAAGTATTACATGCAGCTCAAAGGAGACTGGGCTGTGCTGTCAACATCTTTCTTCAACAAAGCTTAGAAGCACACCAGAAAGCACAAATCCACCAAATGCAAGTGAAGTAAAAAGACAAAACTTTCACACAGTCAGAGGAGGCAGACACACACATACAGTGGCCACCTTCCCTCATATGCCAAAAGTCACAGAGGTACAGGAAGATATCTCCTCTATCCCTGAAGACTGAGTCTACAATCACATTAAATCTCCCTCTTGGTGTCTCCACAGATATCAGGACTTCCTGAAACAACTCACTGATTGGTATTGTCTTGAGTTCGAATTAGCTACTCAATTTGCAATTGCCAAACAATTTGCAATTATTTCAATTTGCCCTCAGCTTTACCAAACTGGGATCCCATTATTGACCAAGGTTAAGGCAGCACAAGACACCTATTGACAGGCCTCAGTGACTGGAATGAGAGCAGCAGTCCCAACTAATCTCTCAAAGGTATCTAAGGTAATTCAAGGAAATCGTGACTCTCATGCTGGATTCCTGCAGCACCTCCGGGAGGCTTACCGGGAATTTACTTCCGTAGATCCGGATGCCCCAGAAAACTATCTTAGTAATATTGCATTTGCCACCAGCCATCCCCAAATGTTTGCAGGAAGTTACAGAAATTAGAAGGTTTTGAGGGGATGAGTAGGTCACGGCTGTTAGGAATAGCTCAGAAAACTTAACACTAGAGATCCAGAAGAGCAGAAAGACTGGCTAGATAATAATATGATTATGTTCAAAGAGACTGATATAAACCAGAAGTACCCCAGGCAGCCAGATCAGCTTCCATCCATGTTGGAGAAGGACCAATGTGCAAATTACAGAGAAAAGGGACACTGGAAAAAATAACTGTAGGCAGGAAGGAGGGAGCAAATGACAGAATTGGATTGATGGAGCCGGTAGCCCATGGCACAGGAAAAGCAGGGGGCAGAGAACTCTCTGGTTCCTAGTGGATATGAGTGCATCCCATTCAGTGTTAAACCAACTCCCACTCCCTACCTCCACCAAGAAAGAACCACCATCTAAGAGGCCACAGGGCCTGGAACCTACATTTGGACCACCACCTGAGAAGTGGACCTTGGACAAGGTACTGTGACTTATTCTTTTCTTGCTAAACCAGGTTTTTCCATCTCCTGATTGGCTGAGCAAAGTTGGTACCACCATCATGTTCAATGAGAATAAGCCAATCCGGACCTCAGGAGTTCATGCCCAGCAATCCTGGTGACTTGTTCATTATCAAAAGAATATAAGATGACAGAAAAGAGTAATGAGGAATTGGGAACACGCGACACACTCCTAATGGAATTAATACTTAATTCCCTAGAGTGTGGGCAGAAACTTACTGTCCTGGGCTGGCCTCTCACAGGCCACCAATTGTCACTCAGCTCTTGAGCCTTGCCTAGAATGGGAAAAGCAGTATATACCCTATTTGGAGAGAAGCTAAGGCAGGAATCAGTTGCCTTAGAGATGCAGGTATTTCCCTTCCACTCACCTTGGAGCACTCCTCTGCTCCCTGTTGCTAAGGCAGGCACCAAAGACTATCATCATCTTAAGGGAGTAAATAAGAGAGTGGAAATCATCCCCAGAGGGTACCAAATCCTTTCACTTTACTCAGTCTGTTGACTCAGGGATAAACTGTGCACACTGTCTTAGACTTGAAGGATGCCTGTTTCTCTCTACTTCTGGCACCCGTGAGCCAACCTATATTTGCCGTTGAATGGAGAGACCCCAAGTCAGGGTTAAGACTACCCACATGGGTTTATGAAGTCCCTGTTCTTAAACTCCCCGTTCTTACTCTTTGATGAAGCTCTTAGTGTGGACCTGCTTGAATACCGCTAAGGGCACCTGAATGTCACCCTCTGGTGGTGTGTGGATGATCTCATCCATGCACATACCTTGCAGGAGTGCCACAAAGCCCCAGAGGAACTACTTGAAATGCTTCAGCTGCTGGGCTACTGTGTCTGCTAAAAAAAAGGTCGACTGTGCTCTATAAGGTAGCTTATCTGGGCAAGTTATTGCTTTGGGGGTGGCAACAGGGGGACCCTGTCCTCAAGTAGGAGCCAAGCTATTCTGAATATTCCTGAGCCACAAGATAAAAGGCAGGTAAGAGAATTCCTGGGTACAGGTGGAAACTGCAGACTGTGGATACCCAATGTTGTAGAAATAGCAGAACTGTTATATTAGAGCCTGGGAGGAAATGGCCCTGTGAGCTGGCAGGGAAAAGAAAAGGAGGCATTCCAAAGGCTCAAGGTAGACTTGATGTCATCCCTAGCTCTCCAGCACTGATAACCCCTTCCACTTGAGGATGAACAACATGGGGTGGCAAAAGGAGGACTGACTCAAACTTTGGGACCCTAGGACTGTTTGTCTGAATGCCTAGACCCTGTTGCAGCAGAATGGGCAGCTTGCATCTGGGCCACTGCTGCCCCAGCACTGTTGTTAAAGGAAATTTGATAGACTAGCCACGGGACAGGGAGGAACAACCAATTCATGCCTGTGCCCAGGTCATTGACCACCTGAAACATAGACAACTGAATCACAGACGCTAGCCCCTTGGAAAGACAGATGTGACCTTGTTCACCAATGGAAGCAGTTACGTACAACACCGGTTCAGGTATGCAGGAGTGACTGTAGTGACACTCACACAGGTAATCTGGGCACAATCTCTGCCTCAAAGGACATCAGCCCAAAAGGCAGAACTGATAGCCTTGACCCAGGCACTAAAGTGGGGAAATAGCTGAATTGTCAACATCTGTGCCAATGGCCATTGTGCCTTTGTCACTGCACATGTCCCTGGTGCCTGGTACCAGGAACAGGGCCTGCTGGCCTCTGCAGAAAAGAAAATCAAAAACAAGGAGAAGATCCCCGTTTTCCTAGCAGTTTTTGCTGATATCCATTGTCTGGAATACCACAAAGGGGATTTGGTAGAAACCCAAGGCAGCAGATTTGCCGCTGTCACAGCAAGAAGAGCAGTCACAGAACCAGTGGGACCACTGCAAACATTTGGCCCTCCACATACATACACCTGTAAGGAAGCAAATTGAGCCAGACAGCAGAGGCCCACTGAGACAGAGGCCTGGTGGATGCTTCTAGACAGATGCCCCATCCTACCAGAAGCCGTGGCTTCCCATTCCGTCTCTCACAAACCCAATAGAGTGACCCGAGATCGACCAAATGAGAAGAATTAATCAGGGACGGGTACTTTCTATGCCACCCAGAGGAAAGAGATGAGTAAATTACCCGCTACTGTGTCATCAGCACTCTGGTGAGCCCGAGAGGAAGAAAACTCACACCTATGGGTGTTCAAGGAAGGGGCGGAGTCCCAGAGAACACTGGGAATTGGACTGTGCTGAGGTTACTCCAGCAAAGTTTGGTTACCTAAGTTGCTAGCTTTCATAGATGCTTTGTCAGGATAGAAGGCTTTCTTGCAAGGTCAGAAAGAGTGGATGTAGTTACTAAAAAAGTTTCTGATGGAGATTATCCCCACATTTGTCCTCCTCTCTTCTTTGGGGTCTGACAAATGGGATGACTTCATGGACAAAGTCTCTTTGCAAGCTGCTACAATGCTAGGAATACATTGGAAATTATATTGCACCTATAGGTCCCAGAGCTCAGGACAGGTAGAAAGAATTAACAGGATATTAAAGAGATACCAATTTAATTCTGGGCAGAAACTGGCCAGGAGGGGATAGAGCTGCCTCCTCCTGTTCTTTTTAGCATCAGGTGTGCCCTCTACCAGGACAAACTACACTGTTTGAAATAATGTTTGGCGGCAGCCTCCACTTACTCCTCAAAGGGAAGGCCATAGACTATTGAAATGCCTCATGATTCCTTCCTTAAATCCTATCAGGCACCACAGAAGATCACCTGAGACATCCCTAGTCTTCTATCACCCTCACCACCGACACTGCTTTTGACTGAACTGAAGCACAGATTCCAACCTGGGGTCAAGGTGTGGGCCCATTGCCTGCCCATCAGAACCCTGGAACTTTCCTGAAAGGGACTATACCCTGTGATCCTGACTACATCCATGGTCATCAAGGTATCGGGGACTGAGGCTTGAACCTACCACTCCCATTTTAAAGTAGACAAGTCTGGCCAAAACAAAGGTGAAAATGGAGACTAATGGGAGATCACCAGCTGCCCCAAAGGTGCGGTTCATCAGCGTCTCAGACTCAGACTGATGCTGATGTTGGGAATGTTGACAGGTATCTCTTATGCTTGAGTCACTGAAAATGTTAAAGTTTAGGACTGGGAGTTGTCATGGGAACCATGCATCTTTTTTATTATTTTAATTTTAAATAGCTTGTTTTACATGTCAATCCCAGTTCCCTCTCCCTCCCCTCCTCCCGCACCCCCCACCATCCCCCCATTCTCCCACCCTATTGCCAATTCCTTCCGCATAGGGGATATCTAGAGTCTGTCATTTCACTCAGGGCAGGGTCCAGGCACTCCCCTAAGAGTCAGGCTGAGAGAGCATCCCTCTTTGTGGAACCATGCATCTTATATCCATGGGCAGACCGTAGAAAAATTATGTATTCTACAAAATGTTGCCTTGAAGCCTGTGTTTAGGTTTCGGTCTAATCCTCTTTGAGGATTCTCCATTCCAGGCTGACAAAAAAGATTGGGATCGCTCACTTCTAAGATGCAGCATATTGGAGGCGATGTCATGGTCATTCCCAGGATGTGATAAAAAATATACTAAATGAAATCCTTTTTCATGTATGTCCAGCTGACAGGCCAATATATCAATATCATCAACAAAGATTATCATTGTTCTGATCCAAACGGTGAGGCTGAGTTTGTCTGAGAAAGGGTTACTGGACACCTAGATCATACCTCATTTTAGAGTAAGAACTCTCTCTCTGAAGGTGCACCTGTAGGAAATGAAGCACTTTTCTGCTCTGAGGCTCATGATCTGGAACTAACCGAGCACACAATCCTGGCTTAAAAGCTTGTTCTGGGGTTTCCAACTCGACATCAAGAGTTTCAGTTTTAAATGGACTGTGGAGTTCTCTATACGAGAAAGGGTTAGGGCTGCCCCCTATCCCCTGCTGCCCATTTAGCCCCACAGGCCTAGGTAAAAGTTGGATGCCTTAATCAAAGACTAGGGTGTGTGCCCTTCCTGTCCTCCCTCCTTGGACCACCCACCAATGGTAATAAATCAGCCTTCAATCTCAACCAAGTGGTATATGGTAACAGACTCACCCTAAACCCTAATTAAAAAAACAAACAAACCACAAAACAGCTTCATCTCCCAATGGCGTCCCTGAGTTTGAGACTTTAATGCTACTACACAGCTTGATTAAACCTCCCTAACCTGGGAAATGAATATTGGCTTTGCCTCAACTCTGGGCCTCCTTTTTATGTGGGGATAGGGCTCAGTCTTTATCACCTCAGCTACTAGTCCATCCGAGAATTTAAATTGTGAACCAGAGGAAAGTAAGTGCACCCTAGGAGACCTCCAAGGAACAGGTACTTGTTTAATCTCTTCAACTTATAATCACTCAGCTTCCTTTTATGGCCAATCCTATAGTACTCATGTGTACAATCAATAAGTCTGAATATATTAGAATGTGCTTTCTGGTTCCTTTAGGGACATGGTAGGCCTGCACATTTGGCTTTGCTAGATGTGTAGCAGCAGAGCAGCTAGAATTCAGAACATGGGAAAGGAATCTCTGTATTCTAACCTATACCCTTCCCCAAGTAGATATGTATACTAGAGAAGACAGTAGACAACAGTTGCCTGTATTTAAAGGACACTTTCACTATGAGGGCTAGGGTCTAATTAGAAGAAAAAAGAATAGTAACTCGGGTATAGTTATACCCCTCCTAATGATAGCAGGGATCACAGATGTGGCTGCCTTGGAAAATATTAGCTTCAGTTGCTCAAGATCAGACTTTCAAGACTCTAAATAACAGAGTAGACCAGGACATACAACATCTCAATGGTTCTATAGGACAACTTGAAAAGCAAGTATATTCCCTAGCAGAAATGGTTTTTACAAAACCATCGGGGATGAGATTTTGCCATCTGATGTGAAAAATGCTGTTTTTATGCCAACAACCAGATAGTTATCTGAGAAACATTATACACGGTCCAGAGAATCTTAGGTGCAAGAGCAGAGTGCGACGAAGCCTCTAGTTGGTTTCCATCCATTTTCTTTTCCCATGGATTACCACCCTTTGACCGCCTTAGTTAGACCTATCCTTTACCACTCCTTGTCATTATGATCAGCCTTTGAATTTTAAATTGGTCGACGATGGACATTTAAAAAAAAACGAACTCCGTTTTTAAAAAAATGGATGGTTTGATTATTCATATGATCTAAAGCCCCTGGGGAATGTGGTGGCTAAGAAAATTCCATTTTGTACCAGGTACTCACTTTTGTAGCTGTTGTCCTCTGACCTAAATTCCTAAAAGCTCTGACCCCTTGTCCCCTCCCCTAAATTGTGTAACTGTTAATTGTTAACAGCTTGTTCTGGCTTCTGTAAACACGCTTATCGCTGTGGGCAGGGGGAATGGCACTCTCTCCTGTAGTTGTTGGTGGGGAGAGTGAAACAGTTCCTCATGTCTAGGAGAGGGGGGTGATTCTTTGGTAGTTGTAAATTCCACAGAAGTGGAGTAATTGTGGCGTCTGCCTTTAAAAACCTTTCCCCAATTTGTGCAGGTGCTGCATATTTCTGATTTGGCTTAGAGATAGCAGTCCTGCTAGCGTAAAAAATAAATTTGGTTAATGACAATCTGATCTAGTCTGTAGTCTTTTCCTGGTGGTCTCAAATTCCACAACAGTAACTCATTAACAATAATCTTTTTAAGGACAAAGAATGACAAGTTAATGGTATCTTAACACTACTTTTCAGGATGTCATGTTTTTGCATTTACTATAAATTTCCCTTGGTAGATTATTTCCTTTTTCTTCTTCTTTTTTTTAACATTAAAACATTAAGGAAAATTAGCTAATTTAGTTTATTTCCCCCGAATCACATGATTCAGAAAAGATGTTTGGATTAAGGTCAATTTTTTTTTAAGTTTCCAGAGAGGACCTTCTATCAGACTCTTAGTCTTAAAATCAGGAATTTTTCAGCCCTGTCTCTGATTTCCAGTGCTCATCAAAACCCATTTTTAGACATGCCTTTTTTCTGCATTGCCTCCGTGTGACTGTGTCTCATAGGGATGCACATCTTGTGAGGGACATTGCTGGGGGTGACTCTGATGTCGGTGACTCCATGGAGCTGGGATCCTAGGAGCGAGGAGTCTAGCAGAAAAGAGTTTGGTCTGGGGAGTTGGGACAACAGACCCACCTGGGAGGACAGCCAGGAGGATGGTGAATACGAAGAGCCTCATTGCTGGTGGCTTCCAAGGGGGACGTGCCATTCAGGGTGGCTTCTCGTGTGAGATGCTGCAAGACAGTAACCAAATGAGAAGATGCTCCTCTGTAACACCTCTGTGCTTCCTGTCTCCAGAAACCATGTAAAGCCTGTTGAATTAATAAATGAATGCATGAATGGTGCTTCTTCATTGCTAAGAGCTCCCGGTTCTCACCTCCTCTCTCTCTCTCTCTCTCTCTCTCTCTCTCTCTCTCTCTGTCTGTCTCATATCTATAATAAAAGCTTTCTTCTAAACATACCATGAAGCAGCCATGTTGTCAGTTGATATGAAAAATATCAAACAATCGGCAAAGAATCGGCATTCTTAATTGCTCTTCAATAGCTACAAATACCTAAGCTTCATGTTTCTTTGGGGTAGTGATATGGATGGTATTTCTTCGTCATCATCCAGGACGCAGTATTGGATATCACACTGTAGCACAAATTCTAATTGGTCTTAATAATAAAAACCTGGAGTCAGATAGTAGGCAGGGGGAGCTGAAAGATCAGAGGCGAAAAGCAGCCCGACACTAGCTCTTACCTCTACCTCAGACCGAATGGACGATCCTTTCTCCACGAATCCTCAGACTGAAAGTTCTCTACGAAACCTCAAAGTGCATCCTCAGATGGTTGCCTCAGACTGACTGCTTGGGACCGACTGCCTAGAGTGCTGCCTCAGAATTGCTTAGACTGCCATGAACTCCTGTCTCCTCCTGCTTTATACTCCTCTTTCTGCCCAGCCACAGGCCTTTCTGTCTCCACCTCCTCAGTGCTGAGATTAAAGGCGTGTCACTCCAAGTGCTGGGATCATTCTTGTGTGAGCATTGTTTCTCTTTTAGACTGAATAAATTTTGTGTAGACCAGGGTGGCCCTGAACTAACAGAGATGGGTCTGTCTCCCGAGTGTTGGGATTAAAGGTGTGTGCCACCACTGCTTGACTTTTCTGGTTAACTGGGATCCTAGAAACAAAGAGTGCGGCTGCCTTTGTACTCTGATCTTCAGGCAAGCTTTATTTGTTAGATCATAAACAAAATATCACTGCGGCGCATTATATAACATGGCCCTGTCCTTCTGCGTCAATTACCCTCCCTGTATCCCTGAAGGTGGAGGGGTCTGACATGTTTTAGGTGGGTGATGAGTAAACTGGCAGAAAGATGCAGGTTAGCAATTCTGGGGTTTGTGAAGCTATATGCAAAGACTTGCAAATGCCACACAATGGTTAACCGTGAGATGGGCAGAGTGAGCTGGGGGGCATCTGAGCCCTGGATTGTCTGTGGTATCAATCTCCACTGCATCGAGACTCTGATAGTATGCTTATACTGGATGCTGGAATGCCTTTTGTTCGTCAAAGACTGTGTTTGATATTGTTTGTATAAACTGACAAAGTGACCCCTCCGTGGTATGGTTAAGAAGAAGTTTCTTTTGCTTGTTTGTTTGATGTTTGTTTTTATTTGTTTGAGACAGGGTTTCTTTGCATAGCCCTAGCTGTTATGGAACTCGCTCTGTAGACCAGGATGGACTCGAACTCATAGAGATCTGGCTGCCTCTGCCCCCCCCCAGTGCTGGGATTAAAGTCACATGCCACCACTGCCTGGCTAAGAAGGTTTTTTATTGTAGATATGAGAGTAAGAAGGAGGAATGGTTGCAGACAGAGGCATTTGGAAGAGTCCAGAGCAGACAGAGAAAAAAGTAGACTGGACACGGCCAGCAGTCAGGACATGGCCAGGCCTATCTATGAGAGAGGATAGTATCCTGTCTATAAGAGGGAGTAGCAAGGGAGAGAGAATAGAGAAAACAAAGGGAGGGAGACAGGAGCAGAGAGCTACACAGAGAGGAAATTTAAAATATATCAAGAATAGCAGGGTTATAAGGAGAAGAGTAGCTGGGGGAAGGAAGCCGATGAGCTGGAGAGAGTTTAGGGGCAGGGGAGGAGGTGGGAAGGGCTAGGAGGCCAGCATGGACTTTGGAATGTATAACAGGGACTTGTTATACTGGGGGAGCCTGGAGGCCAGCATGGGCTTTGATATGTCAATAGATAGGTACCACAGGTAGCCATATGTCCCTTCTGTCAGAGGTCCCTTCCTTTTGGTAGAGGGGAACCAGCTTTGAAAATCCCCGAGGATTGCCTGCTTTTATTTAACTACCAGAAATCTTCTTATAGTCCCTGTTGAGCCCATTTCTGGATATTTTGACTGCCTTTTGCAGTCTGGGGAACTGGAGTTTCCTTTGGACCTGACATTATTCATTTGAGTTTTATAAGTGCTTTTGAAATAAGACAGATAGACAGACATATAAAATCACAAGAAAATTAAGAGCTGGAGATGACAAGTTATGCCCAAGGTTTCCTGTGACTCCATTCCAGGTTCAGACAAAAACAAAGATGTTGTTTTCTTTCCTACCTGGGGAGCTCTGTCAGACAAAGAGAGAGCATGCAGGCAGCCCAAACCAAAAGGTTCCCTAGACTCTAGGGCCTAGGGTAAGAGAGAAGAAAGGAGAGGGGAGTCCCCACTTACCAACAGACTTGAGGACTTTGCCTACCTTTAAACTTTGGAATGGATTTGATGGAGCTTTTAAAGGAGAGCAGCAATGATAATGGGCCCTAGCAATAACAAGTGCCCATAAAGATAAGGAAGCTGTAAGCAGGAGGCAGCCTGGGCATTATCTCTTGCTTGTCCCTAACTCCTGGTTCCCAGAGACTTCCTTCACTAGCTGAGCCAAAGGCAATAGGCTTGTTTATCTTGGTTATTTCTTTTCCTTAGGGGAATTTCCCATCTAGAAACCCTTTTATTTCCTTGTGGAGATAAAGGTATTTTGTTTCTTTAGTTCTTTGGAAGAATGAAGGCAGGGGGTGGGGACAGACAAGAGTGTCAGATGGCAACTAAAGGCTTTTTTTTTTTTACTGGGGTTAATGGCCCAGTTTTCTTACCAAGTCAATGATAAACCCCTGAAGTGGAGTCTTAGCCAAACTCAGTCTAATTTGGAGGTGATCAGGTGCCTGTGGGTGATCTGAGTGACAAGAAACTCCTAAGCAAAGGCAACTGTGTGGCCTATCTTTTCTGTAACAGTTGGCATGGGTAGCACCAAGTCCCAAGACACCTAGCACCTGCCCCTTGTGCCGGTCCTGGGTGCAGTCACAGATGGGAAGGTCAAATGTTTTCCACTTTTAAGAGCCCAAGCTAGCGGTGGTCATTTTTTTTGTTCTTGTTCTTGTCCTTGACTCTAGACAAGCAAGCTTCTAATACTCATGGGGCAGTCTTCTTTTCCCAGGCTCAGCTGGGGTGCTACCCTCCTCTGGGTGGGTAAAGTGATTTTCCTTTTGTTATGGAGAACCAGGTGCCAGGCTTTCCATGGTGGGAGACCTGACTTCTAGCCCAGGCCACCAATCATTTTGTGATACATGTTAAATGGTTAGGTGAGTCAGCTTGGAAGCAGGGAGATGTGTTTACCTCCAACTTAGCTGGAAGTCAGGTGTGAGAGCACCAGGCAAGCATATCATGAAGGAAAAATCTAGGAGAGAGTCACCTTGGCAAGGAAGTCAAGAGTCTACTCCCAGGGCAGATGGTGGGCAGGAGACATTTTCAAAAACAGTAATTCTTTGTCTAGAGCTAAAATTTGGAGCTGTTTCTCTGGTAGTAGCTAAAAGGACCCTGTGTTTAAGACATTTTCATCTCCATCAGACTTTCCCCCAAACCTAGGCAACCCAGATGTCAGAAAACCCCCAACAGCAGGGTGATTAGAGATACCCCACACCATCCCAGATGCCTTGGTAGGGTCCTCTTTCATGATTTAATGTATTGCCTCAGGAATCCCAGGCATAGATGCTATTACCTTATTGCTGCAGATGGGAGACCTAAGGGTCAGGTATTCTTGATCCCAAGACCTATATCAGAATTAGAACTGGGACCATGAATCTATTATTGTTTCTTGCATGAGGCCAGAGATCGGTTCTATGGGGTCATAGTCTATAGTGACTAGCTTAAGGAAGGTCATGTTGCCCCTGACTCCTCAAACTCCCCGACTTGGGAGACACATTTGCCTGTCAAAAAATAGCTTCTCTCTCTTCTTGATAAAGGAGGAGCGCACCAAAAGGACCTCCATCTATGCTATACAGTTCCTCATGTTGTGGTGACCCCCAACCATACAATTATTTTTGTTGCTATGTCATAACTGTGATTTTTCTGCTGTTATGAATCACAATGTAAATACCTGTATTTTCTGATGGTCTTAGGTGACTCCTGTGAAAGGGTCATTTGACACCCAAAGGGTCTCACTCCACAGGGAGAGAACTGCTGCCTTGTGTGATGTTTTACAAGATCAAAGATTACATTGTGAAGACCCATGACCTACACCAGGTATGATATGGTTACAGCCTTTTGACTTTAAAAACCCTACCCTGCTTTGTCTGGGTACTGAGAGTCTTGGTTTGCCCACTAGAGGACTCACTGAACTCTTAATTGGCTTAGTAAAGCCAAAGCATGGTGATACCCCTTGCACAGATTACTCACTATTATACTTACACTTAAGCTAGGGTTGAGCTATTTTTTCACTGATGAGACTGAGATGTCCCACATTGTTTGAGGTTTACTGTTAGTTTCCAAGTGTATTTATAACCTATGTCTCCAAGCTTGTAAGTTGGGGCAGAAGTACGGGCCACATGGGAGAATTGAGTTTGTCTCCTTATTAAGCTAATTTAGACAGCTCCCCTTTTCAACATTCAGGACAAACTTTCGCTCATCTAGCCTCTGATATCCCTCTTCTGAGGAAGGGACAGCTCGGCCTGGGTCTTAGCTTGGCTAATAAGCCATCTAGTCTTGTATCCCTGAAGCAACCTAAAGCCTTCACCTCCCATGAGAAGGTAAGGTGGGTTTCTTAAAGCTCCAGGGGCTTCAGACGGGACACAGAATGTGAGTTAAGAATACCAGAAGCTGAGTGACAGTTTCTGACAACCCAGGACTATGAACTTGAAGGAGTAAGATGCTCTGGAGTTAAGAATAGAGAGAGGGTGGCTTGGCTGTGAAGGCTTTCTTTTCATTTCTTTCTGAATAGTCCCTTCTGTTCCAGGAGAAGCTCTGCCTAAGTTCATTTGGGACTACCACTTTCATGTCTCACAGACCAAGAGTTGGGCACAGAGTGACATGAGCTTGGAAACTGTCAGTGAAGAAGAATGTCAAGGATGAAGAAAACTTAGTGGTCTGCTTTCCATTCTTTCATGGGATATAAGGAGCATTCTACCACTTGCATAGTGCTTTCACTGATAAAATGAAGGTAAGCGTTCCCGACTCATAACTTGAAGGGGGAATGCCTTGGGATGGGAGGATGTGGGGAAAGATGGAAGAAAAATACCTACAGACACAGTGTTAATGGCTTTAAGTGCCTCTCAACTGAAAGCAGCAACAGCTACTGTAAAGGCAGGAGGGTGGGTGGTAGGTATCTATCTCATCTTCATGGTAGCTGTGCACTGGGTTGAGCGGTTAAACCACCTACTCTTCAGCTTGGTTTCCCACTCTCTCTTGGGGGCTATGTGGATTTTTAAACCAACCCTTTGGGTCCCCATCTGTAAACTGGAGATGGCTCTGCATCGTGGAGAGTTGTCATACAGATCAAATGACAAAGTCCTTAGCAGAGTGATGGGATTGGAAGGGTTAACTCACTCACTCACACATCCTCTCTAAAGTCAAAGTAGTCTTCTCTTTCTTTTAGTCAAAGAGTGAAAGGGGACTAGAAGGCTGGGTACCCTATCAAGACTCAGAGAGAGTTGTTTAGATTGAGCCCTGTGACCCAAGAGGCAAGCACTGTGACCTGGGTTAGAAGAACACACTCTGAATTCTTTCCAAGACCCCTACTGATGTCAACTTTTTGATTTGTGCAGCTACCCTGGGAAGCAGGGTATAAAGCACAAATGGGTAAGAAAGTTGCCCAAGGTAGGTGCCCAAGTGAGAATGATAGAGGAACACACCCAGCAGAGATTCTCTGACATCCATATGCATAGGCATAGTCTGTGCACTTACACACACACACACACACACACACACACACACCACATGCGAAAATGATAAAAATAAATTTTACAAAAGTGCATACGAGCCTAGTCATCCTGGTGTGCTAGAGAGGGTCTTGCTGTTAGAGGAATCAGCAGGAAGAGGAAGGAGCAGGAAGGCCAGCTTTAGAGAGGGAGTAACAGTATTCTCTCCTCCCCACCCTTCACTGGAAAGGCAATTCTTGTGAAGAGTCACTTGGACCTAGAGGTGGTACCAAGAGTTCTTCCTGGAAACACAAGTTGTTATTTATTTAGAATTGGCCATGGGTTGGGAGTGTTACCTTTGCTTCCTGAATCTGGGGGCATCCATGCCAAAGCTCTGTCTCTGCTGCCATGCTGTGCCAATGCCAATGACTCTGCAACCCAAGCTTTCTTGTACCCAGAGTCACTGATTTTATAGGTTGAGCACCCCTTATCCAAAATGCTTAGGGTCAGAAGTGGGCTCCATTTTAATTTTTGGAATATTTTCAGATATGTGGTAAGATGTTTTGGGAATGGGTCCCAAGTCTAAACATATCCTGAAGGTAATTTTATATATTTTTAGTATGCTTATATTTTAGATGGATGCCCATTACCTGAGGTCTGGTGTGGAACTTCTGCTTGTGTGGTGTTGGCTTCTAAAATGTCTAGGTTCAGAACATTTAAGATTTTAAAATTACAGATTCAGGAATACTCAATTTGCAATTTATTTATTTATTTGGTTTGTTTCTTTCTGGGTAGAGTCTGTCTATGTAGCTGACCACTAACTCACAATCCTTCCATCTTTCCCACCTTAGCCCCACAAGTGCTAGGATTTTAGGTGTGTTCAGGTTGCATATATTTTTAAAATTCATTATTATCTATTACATTTTTAAATTGGAAACAAGCTTGCATCACATGTCAATCCCAGCTCCCTCTCCCTTGCATGTATTTTTTAAGATAAGTGATTTGTTAGGTGATATCAAAGTGTCTTTAAAACCATACTTACTGGGTGACTTGACATCATTTACATCAACTTGTGAAGTCTCAGCTGTAAGATGGGATTGTGGTGTCTACCCTTCTCAGATCCTTGGTGTTTGGGGGTGAGAAAGAGGTGAAGCTATGAAGTTCCAGGGCAAGCAGACTTACTAAACGGAAGCCGAAGTGACTGGTTTTTTGTGAATGAACCTCACAGATGCAGAGGTGTGCTAAGAAGCGGGTAATGGTCACAGAGCTGGGTATTCTCCTGACTCCCTGTTCAGTTCACTTGACAATAACACCACATCCAGGATGGGCATGACTGGAAAGGTCTGTATCTGGCTCAGAGTCGAACCTCTACTTTCAGCCGCTGGATAGATAGATGCCTTCTACTCAAATCCCCAAAACCAGCACACCCCTCTTTATCTATTAAGAAATCTGTAAGCTCCTTAGCATCAGGGGGAAATGTTAATGGAAACTGTCATACAAAATGTGTGTGTACCATCCTGGGTGGCTCCAAGTATAGAGGCAGCTGTACAGATGTAGCCGGTACAGAAGATGAAACCAAGCGGACACTGTCCTTTTGTCACTGTCTTTCTGTACTGGTTTAGGAACATTGTCAGGATGGACCAAGCTGAGGAGGCCGTCTGGTGGTTGCTTGGGTGCGTGTTAGGGGGTTAATCAGGGCAGAGGGCTGGTACCTGTACCTAGAAGGTGGCTCTGCCCCCCTTAGTCTCTTACTTCACAAAGGCAGTGCCCTCCCCATTTAGAGCAGGGTAGAGTGACACCATAATGCATCCTTGTTTCTAGTGGCACTAATATATGGAGGCAAGTCTGCATTGCAATTGGAAATGATTTCAAAGCCTCACAGAAGCCCCGAAAAAGCAATTGAGTGTGGCCCCCCTTTGCAAGGTAGATGAAGCTGTGTGCTTTGTTGTATAATCTGAATCTGGATCTGCCTGCCACTCAATTAATTCTTGAGTAACTGAACTAAGTTAAGACGCACCAAATCATTGTTATTTTGCAACACTCCGCACTTATTTTCTCATTTTAACCCCCTTTGACCAGCAGTGATAGCTGCTATTTTTAAATTCCCATTGTACAGATTGAGACTGAGACTCGGGAAGATTAGGTACTGTGTAAGTTAGTAACAGTAGGGGGATAAGGGAATTCGGAAACTAAGGGTAATGGGATATGCTGGCCAGAGATGTTGCTTCTTCTTGCCCATGATATTTTGCAGAAAAGGCATGCCCAGACACATGTCTGCCTTTCTTCATGCCCCTGGATATGCCTCTGTGATCCCTTGTGACATACAGTCACACAGTCTGCCCTGTCATCTCACCGTCTCTGCGAGGCTAGTAGTTGAGGGTCAGGGGATCATCTGAACCAAGATCCCAAGGAGCATCCTATCCCAGGATCCCAGGCAGCACACTTACTTTTAGCCACTTCTTTCTCCCCAGTTGATCCAGTTTCGGGGCACAGTCTGCCAGTCAGTGTGTACCCCTGCTTTTCTAGAAGCTTCCAGCAAGACACTGGTTGCTGCTGCCAAAACTGAAACTGCTCTGGGCTTGACCCGCACCTGACTCTTAAAGGGCCACTGTCCCATTAGGCAAAGTAGCCAGCCCGAGCACGTGACTCCCACAGATCCCAGCTCCCCTGGCTGGCTCCATTTATTCTCCCCTGTACTTGGGGAGACTGTGTCACTTGTGGATCCTCCATTGTTGCAGCTTCAGGATATGGGACAGAGTGTTCCTTAGTGTTTGGCCTCACATCCCCAGTCACTATGGATTGCCCTGTTCCCATGACATCCCTAGCACATGGAGCCTGAAATGCCATTTTGCTTTGAGACAGGGTTTCTCTGTGTAGCTTTGGAACCTATCCTGGAACTCGTGCTGTAGATCAGGCTGGCCTTGAATTTACAGAGATACATGTGTCTCTGCCTCCGGAGTGCTGGGATTAAGACGTGCACTGCCATTGACCTGTGGAATGCCACTCTTTGAGTGCCACCTGCAAAGTCCCCCTTCTCAGCCTAGAGCCTTTGGGACCTTGGGATCTGTGCTTCTCCCCTTTTACCCTGCCTCTACCTGTGCTCCCTGAAGCTGGGCTGAGTGGGGAGAGCGGTGTTAGGGCCCTGACCTGGCTACACACAGACGAGGACTCCTACCCGATGAGTTGAGATAGCATCCTCCCTCACCACAATTAGTTAGTACTTGGAACCTTCTCAGGTCATGACCTGTTTGGGTCTCCTAGGTATCTCCAGATATCATAGTGCTTCCTGTGCCACACAAAGGAGCCCATTGTCCAGCACACCCCACACCCTTCTGAGCTCCCCCTACCCTCGAAGTTCTGCGCACTGTACCTGTGCAGGGCTCATCTGCTCACCAGCTCTTCCTCGAGAGTCCTAAAGCAAACTCTTAGAAGAGGAAGGGGAAACGAGAAACAAGGGCTCGAGAAATAGGAGGGTCATACGTGCATGTGAGCTCAACCCACAACGCAATCGCAGGTTTTGATGGAGAGAAGAGAAACTGTATTTTTTATTATGGAATTCAATTTGAGACCATAAAGTCCACAATCTGATTGATGCAAAGAAAAAACAAAACAAAAAACAAACAAAACCTGTAGTCACTTCCTAGAGAGTTCAGTCCAATTCAATGGTATTCCAGATTGGGTTTGTTTTCCCCTTTGTCTTCCTTTTTCTCCTCTGAGTGGCAATGTAGCTCCTGGGGCAGGGAGAGACCTGTGATTTTGGCATTGGTCTGCTGTGCGACTGTGTTGGCCTTGTTCCTCTAAACGAAAAAGCGACTTTATGAACCAAAATAGACCTCATCCCACCTGGTCAGTGGGACCTTTCATCCTTGCTCATCCCATGGGCTCTGGAGTTCACTCTGTACTTTCTTGTGACTACTGCTCAGTTCCTTCAGCAGGACTCCAGGGCTTCTCAGCCCCTCTTCGCCCTGCTTGTGGCTGCAGAGTGGACTGGCCAATCTGTAGCTTCCTGGAGTCTCTTGGAAAGCCACGCTCCTGTAATGCCTATGTAGCCTTTAAATTCATGTAGTTAGAGTTGCAATGGGTGATGGGGAGACTGTGGACCACTGTTAGTTTAGAGAGGAAAGGCAGTGTTAACTGGAATTTCCAAACTGTCCAGATGCTATTATAGAGACACATCAGTAACCAACTTCTCTTTCTTCCTCATTAGCAATTCCTTCCTCCTCATCCCAGGGAGGATGGTTAGTGGGAGATGTGCTGGGGAGGGAGATGTATGGGGACAGAGATGGTGCAAACTGTTTCTGCCATCTGGGAGCTCCTTGGACAGCTTTCTGTTCTATGCCCCCTTCTGTTTAAACCCAATAGTCAAGATAGTTGTGTTGCTTCCCCCAAAGCAGGGATTAGCTTGTGTGTAGTGTCAGGGATGTAGTAGGTACTGAGGAAAGCCCCTGAATATTAGCACAGATACTTGATGAAGGAAGAAGAGAGGAGGGAAGGAAGTACATCAACTAAACCATCACTTCTTTTTCTGCCCTGGAGGTGGGGGGTTTTGTCTCCTTGTTTTTTCCATGCACAACTCCAAGATGACGGATGGCTCTCTGAATCATGGACTGGTAGCACAGAGGTATCCAGAAATGTTTTAGCAGACCATATTAAATACACACGTCCACAGAGAAACATGTTAGGTGTGTTCCCCACATACCCAAAGCCTGCCTCTCTCACTTAGGGATCAAGCTTTGGGAAAGAGGAAATATAAAAGTAGAACCCAGTGCATTATCAGGAAGTTAAATTCTTGTGGCCAGTTTTGAGTTCTGCCACAAGCTGGTGGTGTGAGGACAGTGGTTCTCTTCCCCTGCCACACTGCATTTTCTCTCTCTAGACCACAATGAGTGAGCCCTCCTCTGAGGTGGAGGAGCTGGCCCACAGATAGGGCATGTATCTAGTGTTTGACTTAGTAAGGGTGATGACAACAATGCTTTCCAAAACTTACTTCATTTGCTCAAGTCAATCGTCTCCTAATAATGAGAAAATATGACCTAGTTCTCACCCAATGTGGGGAGGGTCAGAACTACTGGGCCTGAGTCAACACACCCGTATGCTAGCTTTGGCTCTGCCTCCCCTTTGCTGAGTGACCTTTGCCTAATCACTTCCTCTTTTGGTCTGTGGACTTTTCATCTATAAAATGAAAGAGCAAGACCGACTGGTTTGTAAGGCCTTCTATGTGTGCCAGTTGAGCACTGTGTGAGCTTCTTGTGGCGACTAACAAATGACCATAACCTTAGTACTGGGAAACAACAGAAGTGTGTTCCTCTTTGGTTCTGAAGAATAGAAATCCAGGACCAAGGTGGCAGCAGGGTCACCCTCCTTACAACGTCTCTAGACGAGGACTTGATTCTTGCCTCTTTCAATTTCTAGCTTCTGCTACCGTTCCTTGACACCCTTTGATGAGCAGCTGAACCTTCCAGGCTCCGCCTTTGTAGTCACGTTGTGTATAGCGCAGATTTCCTAGATGACACTTGTGACAGCATTTAAGGGCCAATCCCATAATCTGGGATGATATTTTCATCCTATCATCCTGAATTTAATCCTATCAACAAAGACATTTCCTAAATAAGGCACATTTACAGGCTTCTGGGATTAGGACATAGATACAGCTTGGAGACAGGGTCTATGACAGGCATTTCCTCTGACCATGATCAGTTAGAGATCCAAGGAACTGGAAATATTCAGATGTGTGTGTTGCTGTTTTCACGGGGTGTATAGCCATCACTCACATACAACGCTGTCCTGCACAAGTCAGGAGGAAACCAGCATGCCGTGGCAGGGCAGCCTGTGAGAAGGGACAGGCTCTGCACCCAGACTGTCCTGGACTCATACCCGGGGCTTTCCATCTGCTAACTGGGAAGGCTTGGGCAAGTGACTTGATGTCTTTGGACCTGCTTATCCTAAATCCGTAAAGGTGTTACAAAGTTGATATGTGTAATGCCTGGAACTTAGCAGGTGCTGACCATTCATGTCTGATGATCATGAGACAAAACAGGAACTCAGAACTAGGAGCAATTCTGCCCTGAACCCTGAAGATCCATGAGCACAGATGTGAAACGATGCCCGAGAGTATTTAGGAAGGAAGTGGCAGAGATAGGCCTATAACCAAGACCTTTCTGCTTTGGCTACCTGCCACCCCACCCCACCCCATCTTACCCCACCCCACCCCACCACACCACACCCCTGCTGCTTACCAATGCCTTCACAGCAAGGATGAATATTTTGAATTGCATTTCCATGGGCAGCAGGAGTTTCCATTTGCCTCCTTTGTTGATCCAGTGGATTGTAGAAGGCCAAGGCCCACACAGATCCAACCTTACTTGTCATTAGCTTGATGCTCTAAGACTATGGATTGATCCAATCCCTGCTGCTGGAAAAGGAGTTCCTCAAATTATGCATCCCTTCCTCAGTTGGCACTGTCATCTGTTACTGGCCTGGGGTTTACTTTGGTTCATTTTTCTCTGCCAGGTAAAGAATTAAAAGGCAGGTAAAAGTCTCAGACACAGCAAACAGAGTTAACTAGTGAAAAAGGCTTTTATTAGGGGTGAGGACACACACATAGGGAGAAAGACACCCTGCAGAGTAGAGAAGGATCTTGGTAGCTGAAGTCCAGTCTCTTTTTGAGGGTTCTGGGTTTTAAGGGTATTTCTCCCATAATTAAGGGTTGACCAGTTTGAACAAAGATAGGGAGGCTGCTAGGCCCACAGCTTTGGGGGTAAATATGTCCTAATCTAGCCTTGAATTTGTGGGGCCTATATAAAAGCAGATGGCCCTGCTGGTGGTAGGAAAAACCCACCAGGCCTTTAAGAATCAGAAGTGTGAGAAAGAAGGCAGATTTTGCCATCTTTATTATGTATTGGTGGCCTTTCTTTCTATATGTCTGCCAATGAGGTATCTATCTAACGTCTAGGCCTTAACATCTGGCAGGGGATAGTCCCTGTGATTGTTGCTTTGCAAGGTGTATGAAATAAAGACAGAACAGATGAAGTGGTGTTTACCATCAGCTCTGCTTTGGCTAAGTCAATGTTTAACCCTAGTCCTAGAATCAATGTTTAATCCCAGAACAACCAGTTGTATAATCCAGCATTCCCTATCAAGCTGAGAGTATAGTCAGTTCACCATTAATCACTGAAAAGCAGCATTGAGACAGTAATCTGCCAAGGCTAAATTGCATCCTCTCCACCTTTGAAGGGGGCATCAGCTGTTTAGAATTCTTTACTGCACAGCAGCCCATCAGCAGACAATGATAGAGCTTTCTGACCTCCTGCTTGTCCCAATTCTGCCTAGGGACAATGGAGAAGAGCATGGGATGGGACTATTGCCCCTGTTTGTCCAGTTGGCAACCAGAGAGCTATAGATAGCAGCAGACTAAGTGCGTCTCCTTGTTTTGAATCCCGCCAAGAGAGATGGAATGGAAAAGTCCAGTTGGCTAGTACTGGGTGAGTTTTCTGAAACTTGTTGAGCCTAGACCGAGGCGTAATTGTTTTTTTCACAGGCAAGTCTTCCTTTTAAAGGGCAAGTAAAGAGAAGGGGGGGGCTAATTATAAGCATCTCCTACTTGCCTGAATGTTGGGCAATGTATATAAACTGAGGACATGACCACTCCAAGGTATGGTTGAAGAGAAGTTTTTTTTTTAATTGTAGATATGAGGAGAGGACAGGCAGAGGCATCTGGGAGAGTCCAGAGTGGGGAGAGAAAGTCGTAGACTCAACATGGCCAGTAGACTGACTGGGGTCATGAGGAGGGGTTGGAAGGTAAGAGAGGACAGGAGATAGATAGATAGATAGATAGATAGATAGATACAGAGAGCGAGATCACAAAGAGGGCCAAAGAGAGAGAGGACCAAGAACCAAGAAAGAACCTACAGAAAACATGACCAAAATGACAGGGTTGAGTAGGAATGAGAAGCTGGGGGAGGGAAGCCTGTGAGCTGGTGAAGTTTAGAGTAAGAGTCAGGCTGAGAAGAGCTGAGAGGACCCAGATAACAGCATGGACTCTAACAGGTATTTGCAGTGCTGAGAGAGCCTGGAGACCAGCACGTGATACTCTAACAGGCACCACAGCTAGCCATTTGCCCCCAGTTTTGTTTGGACCTGACAGGTAATTCTTTAGTGGCTTTGTGAGGGCTTGCCTAAAGGTCTCAAGGCATAGAGTCTGCCACCTGGCAGTATCATGCCAAGGAGGGAAAAGAGGCTGGCAAGCAAAGAAGCAGAATGTAGGAGATTGGGTGAGGGAAGAGGGCTGTGGACAGGATAGCGGCTCTCAGAAGAGTCACTTACAGACCAAATATGCATTCCTGTCTTAGGGTTTTCCTTCTGCCCAGATGAACACCCCGAGGTACCTCTTCCATGACCACCTGCTGTGTCATTACCAGACATTCAGTCTTTCACTGTTTGCCCAGCATTATTGACTTCTGACAGCCAATCAGAGAGTGAATGTAACTTCTGGGGCCCCTGGGATGGCAGCATTGTGGAACCCTTTATCAGTTTGGCCGAGGGAGAAGTAAATGAAGAGATTGTGGCAAGGCTCCTGAGGCAGGCTGTTGACGGTACACAAAGCAAAGCTGAATGCAATAAGTGGAGCTGGGCAGTGGTGGCGCACACTTTAATCCCAGCACTCTGGAGTCAGAGGCAGGTGGATCTCTGTGAGTTCAAGGCCAGCCTTGTCTATGGAGTAGGCTCCAGGAGAGCCAGGGTTTTTTTTTTTTTTAGTAATCCTGTCTCAAAAAGAAGAAAGAAAGAAAAAAAGAAAGAAGGAAAGAAGAAAGAAAGGAAGGAAGGAAGAAAGAAAGAAAGAAAGAAGGAAGAAAGGAAGGAAAAAGGGAAAGTTGGCAGTGACCCAACAAGATTTCAGTTCCCCTTTAGGGATCTCCCAGGCTCTGAGGAGCTTTGAGGCTACTATTCCAACTTTCAAGGACAGATGAACAAGTCTTTTCTGAGGTTACAAAACCACTGTCCTTCCCCCTCTCACCCCTACACTTGGCTAGGGAGAAGGAGGAAGAAGTTTTGAGTAGACATCCAAAGTCAACAGGCGAGTGCCAGGTGACAGGGCCCAGCCCCTCTCATAAGCCACTGGGGTCCCCCTGCAGATTTACTGTTTCCTTGTTCCTGGTCTGAATTGGACCTGTAGCCCAAGGTGTGCCAGGTAGGCAGACACTGGAGAAATAGCTCCTGTAACACCTGCAGCATGTGTTCCCCCTGAACCTCAGGGTTTCCAACTGTGAGAGGAGACTCTTTCTGGTGTTGAATATTGTCAGTAACTGCCAGCTGCCTATGCCACGCTGTGGTGGTCCGGAGCTGGTTGCATCTTCTAACCAATGTACCTTTCTTGTGCCAGGCTCTAAAGAAGCAAGTGTACTATCCTTTGCCCACTTTGTTTTGTTTCTGTTTTTAATGTCTTGTGAGGCAGGGTCTCATTCTGTTGCCCAGAATTTGCTCTTACAGCGCAAACTGACTTTGAACTTGCAGAACTCCTCCCTCCTCTGACTCCTCTATCCTGGGATTACAGGCAAGGGTCACCATGTCCACCCACCTTTGCCTGAACTCTTACCAACGTGAGCTGCCACATCTTCTCCAAAGGATCTAGGCAAGCATTCGATCCCTCTAGACCTAGTAGCCTGGCTCTCCTCCTCTGCTCTAAAACACTCTGAGTTGGGTTCAGGAATTTGCAACTCAGGGAAAGAAGTGATACTAACTGACAAGTGTGTGCCAGCTTTGTTGCTTCAGAATCATAATTCTCACATGCCTCTGTGGTAGGGTTGAGGCCTCTTGTAGTTGCTACCTCTCTGCAGGCCGTCGGCAGACCCCTGCGCTCTGCGTGGATAGTTGAGTTATGCTTGTCTTTCTGCTGACAGTGAGGGGGCCAGCAGGCCTGTTCCCCAAGCTGAGCTATGGCATTTAATGAAGAATGGAGAGTGTGGTGATCCTGATGGCACTCGCAGGGTCACTTACAGTGTATGCTTGTCAAGCTGTCAGCCTTGGAATGGTCTCCCCAGTGGGGGATGGTCTCCAACTCTGTTTTGCTCATGCATCCCAGTGTGTCCTTGGGTGACGGAAATCTTTCAGGCAGCTACTAAATGGATTCAGTACTTCTCAGACTCTCCTATCCGAGGCAAAGAAACAACCTCTGAACTGTCAGTAGTGATACAATCTAGGGGTCTTGAGATTATACCATCTAGGGGTCCTGTTCTATTTACTTTTCTCTGCCAGTTAAAGAATTAAAATGCAGGAAAAAAAATCTGGAATGCACCATGTAGCAGCAGAGAAGCCTCAAGCACCACAGACAAAGTTGAAAGTGGAAAAAAGTCATTTATTGGGGGTGAGGAAACACGCTCGTGTGACGGCCACACAGAAAAAGACCCCGAGCAAAGCATAGGGGCGGGTAGAAGCTGAGAACTCCAGTCTCTTCTGAGGGCTGGGGTTTTAAACCCTGTCGAGAGTTTTCCTCCCTTAATTTAGGGTTGGTCAGTTTGAAAAAGGCAAGGATTGGTGACCGGCCCAGAACTGTTGCGTCTTCGGTCCTGATCAGGCTCGAACTTGTTAACCCAATCCACCAGCAAGCATCCTGCTGGTGGGAGACAGAAGCTCACAAGGCTTTGTTTTAAGCCACCAGGCTTTCGTCTCAAGTCAGGAGGCTGAGGAAGATGCCGGCCGTCTTGGAGGACTGCCGTTTTTATTACCCTGTATGCCTGTCAGAGAGACTGCTTTACTCTCTATCTCTCAGTCAGGTGCAGTGACAAGCGTTTGTACCTAGTGACCTGGGATACATGGACACTCTTACACATCTTTGACATTTGAGTTCCATTTGTCCAGATGTCACCAAGCACTTCAGGGCTGAAGTTTCAGTTCTCAGTCTGGCTTCGTGAATGCCACCCCCACGCCACCCCACATCCCCCTAAGCTTAGACAAGTTATTGATTAAAGAGAACCGATGACTGGAAGTGACTGTGCAGTTTTCCCCACACACGAGTCTCAAGGAGAGAAACAAGCCAGCCTGAGGAAAGGCCTGACTGACAAGGTTATTGTCAGGTAAAGGAAACCCCAACTCCCCAAAACCCAGAAGGCAGTGAAGGTGTCCAGAAATGACAGTCTTGCTCTAGCTGAAGGATACTGCCAGCATTCCTCAGGAACCCCAAGAAGGTTTCCATCCACCAGAAAGAGGCACACCATCCTATCTCCCCCTCCAGTGGTGGGTGAGGCATCTGTCTCCCTATTGACGTGTATCTGTGGTACAGACAAAGCCCTTGCTGACATGCTGACTCCAGGTTGGGTTGCTATACATTTCAAAGTCAATGCTAGCCTCGCAAGCCCTTCTCATCCCCTCCTCCTCCACTATGCTAGCTCCAAGGCTGCTGCCCCACAAACATCCCCCCACCATAGCTGTTTGTTCCGTATATAAATGCAAGGTTTTCCCCTCCCCTAATGCCAAGCATCCTGTTGTCACCATTCTCTCTTGCTCTTCTCTGCTATTCCTGCTTCCCTAGCCTGCTCATGTCCTCTCTGCTCTGGATTCTTCCAGGTGCCTTGGAATGTTCTCTCTCTCTCTCTCTCTCTCTCTCTCTCTCTCTCTCTCTCTCTCTCTCTCTCTCTCTCTCACACACACAATAAAAACCTTCCCCCAATCATGAAGCAGTCATTTCAGTGGTTTCTTTACTGAGTCCTCGATTACAGCTATCAATAAATACAATCAAGATGAGGGACAAAATAATAGTGACCAAGGATAGAGACTGCAGGGGGCGGGGAGCCCATGTCCCGGTGTACTTTCTGCTTGGAAGTATGAGTTTCCTCTGAATGTCAGTTTCCTCATCCATAAAACGGGAATGGCCATAATTAGCTTTCAGAACTGTTGCATGTAGTGCACACAGAGTGAGCTGTGCAGAGACGTGTGAATGAGAGGTTAGCTACACGCATTAATAGGTAGAAAGACAAAGGGCATCAGAGGGCTATGCCCAGTGGTTTCACCTTGTGAAAACCAGCGGCATACCTGAATCCTGAAATGAAAGTAAGTGCCTCTGACTCTAGCCTAGTAAGGAAGTGTCCCCTGCCCTCACTTCAGTGGCAGGAGCTGGTGCTGGTAGAGTTGGCCTGCTCTGTGTGGTTTGTCCCTGACCCTTTCAGCCCAGCCTGAGTCCGTTGGACCATAAAGGAGAGCTGTAAACAGGGCTTGCCCCATTTCCTTCTCTATGGCTTCTACCCAGATCTTATCCCGCCTCCCCCAAACACTAGCTCCTCCTGGTGGATCTCTGAAATGCCTGTACTCCTGGAAACTTCCCTGGCCCCAGTGCCTGACTGCAAGGCCTCCTTCCCTCCCACTCGCCCTCTTCCACTAAGATGGGCAGTCAGACAGGATACCACAGCTGCCCAGCTCAGGACAAAGAGTATCAGAACCGTTCAGAGGAAGGAGAAGGACCAGCAAGGGGTGGCAGGAAGCTCCTGAGGAGACAGATCTGATTGTTCAAGTCAGACACATGTGTATCTAACAGTCTTGTGTAGTCTTATGGCTTAGTGCAGGCATTGCAAGTTATGGTCAAAGGCCAAACGCAGTTTCCTGCTTCTGTGAGAGTTTTGCTGGAGTGTGGGATAGCCAGTGGTTTGTGTACCCTCAGAGATGGAGCAGAGTGGCTGCCTCAGAGGCTGCCAAGTTGGCAAATCTAAGATAGTTGCTGTGTGGCCTTTGGAGGCCATGTCTTGGTTTAATGTTTTGGCTTCCATAGTGAGTGGTCTAGGGAGACCCAGTTCAGTGAAACTGCTTTCAGGCACACTAGATCAGCAGACATGATACCCCACTCTCAGGGGTTTACCATGTTCCTTTGCATAGTTAAGGCTCTAGGAAGCTCTGCGTGTAAGAATCTCTGTGGATTAACCTAGCATTTCCCTAACTTCTTTGAGCTACAACTTAATTTCTTCTGACTGCCTCTTAATATCCCAGGAAGCCTATGGATGGATACTCCGGGTAAAGACGGATGGGTTAGGGTTAGCCAGGTCAATCAGCCTGAGTTTTTGACCCATCGCAGCCATCAATAAACTAAGTGGTCTTGACTGAACTGTGTACCTGTCAAGAACTGCTTCTTCATTGGTGGGATGGTGGCTTTTCTGCCCCTCCTACTGGTTTCTCAGGGAGACTGAGGTAGCGGGCAGAAAGCTGTGTGAAGTGATGGTTGTGGTGTGGTGCACTTTTGACAAGTTCTGCTTAATTAACCCTGCAGTGGTGAAGTGGAAAGACACTAGGCCAACATCATACACTCTCTAGTCTTCACTCTGATTTTACTAGCTTGGTTACCTGGTGACTTGGTGACTCCAAACAAGTGATTCCTTCCACTGGGGCTCAGATTCCCTCTAAATCAGCGGTTCCCAACCTTCCTATTGCTGCAACCCTTTAATACAGTTGCTCATGTTGTCATGACCTCCCAACCATAAAATTACTGTCATTGCTATTTCATAACTGTAATTTGCTATTGTTATGAATCATAATGTAAATATCTGATATGCAGGATATCTGATATGTGACTCCTATGAAAGGGTCGTTCCACCCCCGAAGGGCCCGAGAGCTACAGGTTGAGAACCACTGCTCTAGATTAAGTATCTGTAACTCTGGAGTTCTGTGTTTCTACTTGGCTGGTTGCATTTAACCTGCCTCCTTACCTAAGACAAGACTCTCCTAAACCCCAAGGGCATATATCTTGGCTTTCTCAGTACAGTATCTGGGGTCATGACCAGATATGAAGAGATATTTCTGAAGGACTTTGATGCCACTGACAGTTTAGAAGGCAAGGCCAACCGTTCTGGAAATGTCAGCGTCCCGGTTCTTAACTTGGTATTGGCACTCTTCTGTCCCCACTGTTTCTGTTGCTCAATGCCTGTACTACCCACATACAGAGTACAGGATATGGAACCCTTCCTAATTAGTGCATCAGCCAAAGAAAAAGAGCAGATGGGACAAGATGGTAGGGTCAACAGAGGGCCAAAAGTTCCCCAGCAGACATGGTTATAAGGCAGAATCCACATAAAATCCCTCTCAGTTGTCCCTCTCTCTCTTCTCCTCCCAAGCCATTTCCAGCTTTGTCCACAGCCTTTGATAGCAAAGATTTATAAACAGTGGGACAAGAGGAGATTGATCACGAAGGTGAAAACCTAATGAAAAGTACCCTCTTCTTCCATCATTTAGGAAAATCCCAGAAAATCTTGAACTGGTCAAAAGATTTACAGTGTGATGAGAACAGGGTCAAATGGGGAGAAGAATAGATGTTCTTTCCTCCTGTCTCACATAGAACCACCCACTGATGTGGCCAGCTAACGCCCTCCCAACCAAAAGTGATGGAGGCACCTGGGGATTCAGACCTCTTGCCCAGGTAGATCCACAGAGTCCACTAAGGCCCAGGCCATCCTCAGCCAAACAGGTATGGGCATTTAATTGGCTGCCCCCCCCCCCCCCCCGAGTTGCAAGTTCTCTGGAGATTTAGTGAAACAGATAAAATACAGTTACTGTCCTTAAGGAGCTACATTTGCGTTTGCTCAGATGAGCCTGGTATATGAGAGTGCTGAGTGTGAGCAGCAGGCTTTGTACTAACAAGCACAGAGAAAGAAGGGTACCCAGAGAGGCAGAGGCAACAGGGACAGCACAGAGCTGCATTCTCCTCCCTCCCTCCCCCTCCCTCCCTCTCCCCCTCCCTCCTTCCCTCCCTCCCTTCTTCCCCTCTCTCCCTCCCTTCCTCCCTCGCTCCCTCCCCCTCCCTCTCTGGTACAAAGAAGCTTATAAGGGGCAGTGGACTAAGCAGTTTAAAAACAGCCAGATCGCAAGCCCTTTCCTGAAGCCTTCTTTGCATAATTGTGCTGTCACCTTTGGCTGCAGAGAGTGCCTGACCCTCTGAAGCCCGAGCTGGTAGGCCCGGTGTCCCCAGTTGGAGGCTGAGCTCAGTTGGCTAGTCTTTGTGTGGGTGAAGATGAGAAGGGGATGAAGAAGCCTTGGAGAGATCTGGTCTTGGTCCTCCTTCCATGGTGACTGAGCTGTTTACTTTTCCATCCTCAGGGTTCTGGTCCTCCAGGACAAACAGGCTGCCTTGGGCAGGAGGAAGGTCACCTTGGTGCAAGTTTTTTCCCACATTGGGGAGCTTGTCTGGTAGGAGATGTGTCACCTGAATTAGGGTGATCCTTGGTGGCCTTTCTGCCTCCTTAGCTGCAGAGACATAGAGAAGGCTGTGAGTATCCTGGGACAGATACACAGCTTTGCCTTCCTAAGAATGAGACAGACGTATGTTTCTGAGAATTTCCTAAGACAAAAGCTTGATAGTTGGGCCCATTAGAACAAAACCAACTGGTCCAGATAATTTGATCCCTGGCCCTGGGAACCTCAGCCTCTCTCTCACTGCCTCCCAGAAAGCCCCAATCTCTTTTTACCAAGACCACACAGTGGAACACTCACATGGAGCACTTACATTAGGAGTCTGCATCTTTGGAACATTACAATGAGAGTAAGGCAGGCCGCGCAGAAAGTTTGCCAGTGTGGCTCCATGCCTATGGTTAACAGTTCTTGGCATCCTCCACAGATCTCCTTAAGCCAAGGAATGCCACTGAGGCACAAAGTGGAGAGGGAATTTTATGAAGCCACGACCGAGCATAGTGCAATGGTTCAGAGTAGAATTTACCTTTTCTACATCCAAAAGTCTGGGCATGCAGCAATCTAATCTGACCTAGCCCTGAGGGTATCAGGTGGAAAGGACCATTCGTCTCCTAGCTTTGGGGTTACTTAAGCTCAACTCACAGGTCCTCTCTCTCCGGAGTCGCCTTTTTAGTAGGACCAGAGACGCAAGCAGAACCAGGACCAGCACAGTGGAGACTGGAGTCAGGATCCAAGAGTTGCTTTCTCCTTCTGTAAAAGCACTGCAGGGGGAGGAGTCAAGGGGGAGAGGAGCACGGGTCAGGGAAGTTGGAACTAGATGACTAATTAGACCACTAGCCTTCCTCTCTCATTTCACAGATGGGCGAGCTGAGCTCCAGGCTAACTGGCCACCCTTGTCCCTATAACTGGCTCTCAACAGAGCTGTTCTCTTCAGTTCCTGAAGCCCCAGTCTTTTGCTTCACTCCACCCTCTTGCGCGTGGGCCACAATGTGCCATATTGAGAAAGAGGATGAGTGACAATCAGGAGGTTGGCTTTGGCATCTGGCTCTGTCACAACTTTTCCTTTCGTCTTAACCAAGTTATTTCTGTTCTCTGGAGTTTTGGTCCTCACATTAAATAGAGAGTGCTGGGGATTTCAGCTTAAAGATTATTTCATGATATCATTTAGATTTTTGCTTGCAAACCACCAGAAAGCATTCAGATAGCATTATTAGTGGCCACTGTACGGACACTGAAGTGTGGAGGATGATAGTTGATGCTTATGCCCCCCATCCCACCCCTTACTGATTCGTAGGTACAGAGGGAAAGAGGTCCTCAGGAGGAAGGGCTGGCCAAGAAACAAGGTGTCCAGGGACCCAAGGCTTACCTCTTCATGGATGACTCATTGCCAGGGGTCCGCATAGGGCCATCTGGTGAAAGTTGACTTGGTGCTGCGGGTCTACTTTCTCCACCAGTGTTTTCTAGGCTCCAGTCGATGCTTCCAGATGTCATTTGCATATGTGTAGTATTCTCTGTCCATGCGTTTGGAGCTGGGGATGACTCTTCCGCAGAGTCTAGCGTTCGCTGATTAGAAGCCTCCATTGCTTCTTGGAGAGTTTCCAAGGTCACATTTTCTGAGATCAGGACTGATGGTCTGTTGGCTCCTGTGGTCTTCCTGAGTGCTTCTGGAGACATGCTGACCTCTGTTTCCTCCTGCGGCCCATCAGCTGCTGGAGTCGTGCCTTTCTTCTCGCCTTCACTGGTGCTAGCACTAGTTGTTGCTGAGTTTCTGGTGCCCCATATCAAAACACCCTGGGTTGTGCTGAACATGCTTTTTGATTTTGAATCTGGACTCTGTGGAGTGGGAACTATTGCCTTGATAGAGCCCTCCTCTCTGCTGCTTGTCCCTGGAACCATTGTCCTGGCTGCTCTTGGGGTTTGTCTTCCATTGGCTGAAGCTATAGTTTTGCTTATTCTTGTAGTTAGATCTGTTCTGTTCCGTTCTGAGCCTTGACCTTCTAGAATCTGGGTGACTCCCGGGGTCCATCTGTTGGCTGTAGTTAGATCTGTTCTGTCCTGTTCTGAGCCCCCACCTTCTAGAGTCTGGGTGACTCCTGGGGTCCATCTGTTGGCTGTAGTTAGATCTGTTCTGTCCTGTTCTGAGCCCCCACCTTCTAGAGTCTGGGTGACTCCCGGGGTCCATCTGTTGGCTGTAGTTAGATCTGTTCTGTCCTGTTCTGAGCCCCCACCTTCTAGAGTCTGGGTGACTCCTGGGGTCCATCTGTTGGCTGTAGTTAGATCTGTTCTGTCCTGTTCTGAGCCCCCACCTTCTAGAGTCTGGGTGACTCCTGGGGTCCATCTGTTGGCTGTAGTTAGATCTGTTCTATCCTGTTCTGAGCCCCCACCTTCTAGAGTCTGGGTGACTCCTGGGGTCCATCTGTTGGCTGTAGTTAGATCTGTTCTATCCTGTTCTGAGCCCCCACCTTCTAGAGTCTGGGTGACTCCTGGGGTCCATCTGTTGGCTGTAGTTAGATCTGTTCTGTCCTGTTCTGAGCCCCCACCTTCTAGAGTCTGGGTGACTCCTGGGGTCCATCTGTTGGCTGTAGTTTGAGTTGTTCTGTCCTGTTCTGAGCTCCCACCTTCTAGAGTCTGGGTGACTCCCGGGGTCCATCTGTTGGCTGTAGTTAGATCTGTTCTGTCCTGTTCTGAGCTTCCACCTTCTAGAGTCTGGGTGACTCCTGGGGTCCATCTGTTAGCTGTAGTTGGAGTTGTTCTGTCCCCTTCTGAGCTCCCACCTTCTAGAGTCTGGGTGACTCCCAAGGTCCATCTGTTGGTTGCTTCAGCTCTCCCTGGAGATGCTGTGATGAGCTCAGCAGAAGTTAGAGCTGCTGCATAGGTGGTGTTGGAAGGACCTGTGTGGACACACCCAGAGAGAGGCCATGAGGGAATACTATCTAGGCTACCTATGGATTCAGCAAAGAACATTTCATCAAAATGCTTGTTAAGTAGGATGAACCTCACTAAGAGATGTAATCTTTTGCTAATAAGTCAGATACAATTAAAAGGTGAGAAACTCAGTTGCTTCTATGGTTTTGCAAATATTCACATTTTACATTCTCATTTTCTTCCCTCAGGCCTGCATATTCCCTATCTAGATACCTAGGAGCACGTGTTACTATTCAACAAAGGAGGGAATAAGCCCCCAATTGCAGCAGACTAGTGTACTGCAGCTAGGGAAGGGGAATTTATATGCTCTCCAGAAAGATCAATTCTGACTAGGTGTTCTGCACAGCAGCCTTTATGGTGCATGTGACGGGAACATGAACATGCACATACGTACACACACATATGCATGCACTTACACACACACACACACACACACACACACACACACACACACACACAATGCTTTAGACTTCTATGCCTGAGTCTGGATCCAGTCTTTGGAACAGAGCCTTGAAGTTGTCAGATGCCTGCACAGGGACTCAGCAAGGCACTACTACAGGAGAGCCTAGCCCCAGACACCCGCCTCCCTCCTCATGTAGGCATAGGCAATGATACCTCTTCTTTGCATGACTGAACACCAAGTTTTCTGCAATCAGAGAAGTCACACTGTCAGCTCACAGTGTTTTTAGAACTTAGTTCAGACACTCATTCTGCAACATTCAGGATAGGAAGAACCAGGTGGGCGACCTTGTACATCCTCCATTGGGCACTCTTCCCTAGTGTCTGCCTTCTTGAAGATAACTTCTATCTAAACCAAAAGTCTACCTCTTAGAGCCTTTCTCCTACTCCACTGTTTATTATGAAAGGCATAGGGCTTTCTGGGGCTTCTGCGCCTTCTCTTGTACCCATTTCTTCTGAACCTCGCCCATCAGCCACCAACCAGTTCATACCTGCAGACACAATCAGATTCATCTCGAAGAACAGCATGTCATTTCGGTCCCCAATGCCACAGCGGTAAAGTCCCGTGTCATTCGGGGACAGTTGGGACAGCTTCACCATGAACAAACTGCTCTGAGGAAAGTCAGTAAGAGTCACACGCCCTTTGTAGTCGTGGTGAGTGTAGTGGTTGGTGGACACGATGGTGTAGCAGATCCACAATGGAGGCCCCGGGCGGCACCAGTATTTTCTTTGATGCCTGTTGACCGAGGAGGGGGCATAATGGCAATGGATGGTGACAGCTCCCCCGATCTTCCCAGACACCAGCCGTGGGCCTCTTAGTGCATTTGCATCTGCAGGCAGAGATAATTGTCAAAGGAAAGGGAGCAGTGAGGATATCTACTTTTAGGGAGTTAGCTATGAACTCTGCTCAAGAGAAAATACAGCTGTGAAGGTGCTATATGGAACTGAAGAGTTTAGCCACTGAGGAAGTAGGCCCTTTCCAAAGTATGGAAGGGAGCTGAATTCGGGGCCTCATCTGAAAGACTCTTAACCAGTATTTGGCTAGCACTTATATGTTAGATGTTATCGTGCAAGTCTGTCTAGAACCTGCATTCACACTGCTAAACTCCATCTATAATGTTGTAAGAAGGAGGAGGCAACTCCAAGCAGAGAGCTCTGGTTTGCACAGAATGTTCTGCTAGCTTGATTGGTACATCTTCCAGATCAATGACTGACGTTTCCCCGCACAGGCCTCTTCTCTACAGAGAACACTATGTATACATGGTACACGGTTGGTACAAGAGAACAGGTGAGAAGTATTACGGATACACCTGCCTTGGCAATATTTAGCTGAACCAGAGCATATAGGAAGCCTTTAATTTGATAAAGTGTAAGCAGAAAAAAGTGTATTCTTTCACTGGTTTTTCACACTATCTCTGGGCACCTCTGCTCTGTAGTAAGATACCAGGCATAATCTGTGTATAGTAGATTTCATTGTATCTTCAGGCACACAGAGTCTAGTATAACCTAAAATTATACATCCAGCCCAATGTGATAACAGACTGAAACTCAAGTGTCTCATCTAGCTAAAGACTTTTCCTTTGTTCCCACTAGGCTAGGAGACTGCCCGGGAGGATATGTACCGGTTGGATCTATTGCCTTGCTTTCTTTGGCTACTCAGAACTGAGACCTGGGGAACTCCCAGACCTGGCACAGAGAAAGGGGTGGTGGTGCATATGGCACTGTTTCTGTACCTGGCTAATGTCCAAAGGTGTCTCTTTTTGTTTGCCTCCCAGATAACTTTTTGGTGGTTTCTGCCTCTAGTTTCCTCCTTGCAAGAATGGCTTCTTATTTTGCTGGCCCTTTATGGCTACCAATAACAACCCCATGACTTCTGGATATTTTCACCTCTTTTTGTGGCCACAATCCACTATGGCTGACTTTCTTGGTGAGGGCCCTACATTGGGTCAAAGGAAGCACACTTTGTCCTTCTGTCAGAAGAATGAGTATAATGGCAAATTTATTTGGTTACTCTCTAGACATTGCTTCTCTCACACTGCTAAGAGTGAGAGGAAGTGGCGGTTTCTGTCCAAAACAGTCCTTACATTCTTCAGCCCTCCTAGGGTTCTTTGCCCTCCCTTAGGCGCTAGGACACCTGACTGTTGGACTGTTGTCGAAACCAGCTTCATAATTCCTTACTACAGAAAGGCCACCAAACGTTTCCATTTGGGACCTGGTAGTTTGTTATATGTCTTTAGGGCTTCTGAACCCAAGAACCTTCCGACCAGTGTTCCCTTACTGGAAACAGCTAAAGAATTTGTGGATCCTGGTACAAGAGGAAAATGCAAGACTCCTTGTCTAAATTATCATGTTTCAAGATGAGGTTGGGTATGGCAACACATGCTGCAAGCTCATCAAGAGGCAAAGACAAGAGGAGTTTTGAGTTTAGTGTCAGCCTAAGCTGCATAGTGAGACCTTTCTCAAAAAAAATACCCACCCAGCCCACAGGGATATAAACAGACACAGCTGGGAATCAGCAGCTGGATGAACAGAGAGCTGCCTGGGCAGAGGCCGTGGAAACCAGCAAAACTGTGACTCCCTTACAGCTCTTCCTCTGCAGCAGCAGTGGAATGATCAAGAACTGCATGCTTAACTACACCAATAAATGGCTAAAGGCACCGTGAACACCTTTGAATTTTTCAAAAAAATTTGGAAGGGATGCCAACCCAGACATTTAGAGACATTTAGAACACCAAACAAATGAAACCAGAGAAGAACTCCTCATGTCATATTATAATTAAACTACTGAATATACAGAACAAAGGAAATATACTGAAAATGCCTGAAAAGCATCCAGTTGCATACAAAGGCAGGCCCATGAGAATAACAGATTTCTCCACAGGACATCAAAGCCAGGAGACCTTGTAATAACAAACTTCAAGTCTTCAAAGTTAGCAGATGCCAGCATGTAATGTGATCCCCATCAAAGTTATTCACCATTAAAGGAGTAAGAAAAACTTTCCACGCCTAAGATATACTAAAAGAATTCATGATGACTAAGTCAGCTTAACAGAAGATACTCGAAGAAATCCCTCAAATTGAAGAGAAAGCCAAATATATCATGGGGGCCACAGGAAAGAGTAATAATAGTTAAGCAAGATAAGAATAAGAAAACATTAAGCATATTGGGTGGTGGTGGCTCATGCCTTTAATCCCAGCACTCAAGAGACAGAGGCAGGTGTATCTCTGTGAGTTCAAGGCCAGCTTGGTCTACAGCATGAGTTCCAGAACAGCCAGGGCTATTACACAGACTAACCCTGTCTGAGAAAACCAAAAAGAAAAGAAAAGACCAAACACAACAAAATTTGACCGGAATTAGCGAACACTTCTCAATTTCCCATAAAAGATGAATTAGGATACCAAGTGTTCTAAGCAAACTGATCCTGGAAACAAGCAAGTAGTGTTTTTCTAATATCATCAAAATAGATACAGAAGGGCATTTTATGATGATTGAGGAAGCAGTCCTCAGGAGGATATTTTGATTCTAAACACACACAGAACACAGGGGCACCTAAATATGCTAGATGTAAAGGCATAGATTAACCCTAACACAGTAAGAGTGGGTGACATCACTACTCCCCTCAATAGACAATCACCCTAACAAAACCAAACAGAAACATCTAAATAAGATGACATCATAGATCAAATGAGTCAGTGGATCCAGCAGATAGCTATAGAACATTCTGTCCAAACTCAGCAAAATATACATTCTTCTCAGCAGCCCAATGAATCATGCATTAGAATACAAAGCAAATATTTTGTTTGTTTGTTTGTTTTTGTTTTATCTTTGACTGTCCTGGAACTCACTCTGTAGACCAGGCTGGCCACGAACTCACAGAGATCCACCTGCCTCTGTCTCCTGAGTGCTGGGATTAAAGGCACGTGCAACTATGCCTGGCCCCACGAAGCAAATCTTAATAAGTATAGAAAATTGAATAAAATAATTGAATTCTATATGGATACAATAGAATAAAACTAAAATTCAATAGGTGAAGAAACTACAGAAAACACACAAACTCTTGAAATTAACTAGCACACCACTGAATGATGAATGTATCAGAAAAGAAATCAACAAGGAAATTAAAAATTGAAGACACAACATAGAAAAATCTATGGGATACAATGAAAGAAGTTCCAAGAGGAAAATGTATATACATGAAAAAAACCATGGACACCTCAAATGGCTTGATGATATGCCTTAGGTTTTTGGAAAAGCAAGAACAAACCAAACCCCATATCAGTAGATAAGAAGTAATAATTAAGATCATGGCAGAAATTAGTGCAATAGAAATAAAAAATAATTTTCATTATAATAAAATTCCCATTATAATAAGAAGAATTTCATAAGCAGAGAGTTCTTCTTTGATAAAATAAACAAGATTGATCAACTCTTAGTCAAACTAACGAAAAGAAAGAGGAGACCAACTCAATAAAGTTAGAGATGAAAGGGAAGTGTTAACAAAAAATACTAATGAAATACAGAAAGTTGTAGTACACACCTTAAAAACATATATTCAACTAAACTGGAATCTGAAAGAAGTTAGTGAATATCTAAATGTGTACGACCTATCAAAAATTATACCAAAAGAAGATAAAAATCTAGTGTATCTATAATGTATCTATAATAAGCGGTGAGATCGAAGAAAGAAAAAACATTTTTTTTTGAGACAGGGTTTCTCTGTGGCTTTGGAAGCTGTCCTGGAACTAGATTTGTAGACCAGGCTGGTCTTGAACTCACAAAGATCTTCCTGTCTCTGTCTCCCAAGTGCTGGGATTAAAGGCATGCACCACCAACACCCAGCAGAAAAAAAACTTTGTTTCTGGTCCTGATAGATTCACAGGTGGATTCTCCCAGATTTTTAGAGAATTAACACTAGTGCTTCCCAAACTATTCCATGATACAGGAAAGAAAGAAACACTATTAAACTCTTTGTGGTGATATGTTGTTTATGATCTAGTATAGCCTGCCTGAAGACCAGAATGCAAAGCTAGCCACAGCTATAGGGGCCAGGCAGTAACGGCCACACCTTTAATACCAGGACTCGGGAGAGACAGATGGATCTCTGTGAGTTCAAGGCCACCCTGGGCTACAAGAGAGTGAATCAGTCTAAAAAAGAAACAGAGCTCCCAGCACTGGGAGGTGGAGACAGGGTGATATGGATGGGTGGAGGGAGGAATGTAGGTTGGGAGGAGACAGTCTAAGAATTTGTGGAGGCAGGATCTCTCCTTTCAGTCTGAGAATTTTGTAGAGGTGACAGCTCTCTAGTGACTCGACTGCTTTGCCTTTCTGATCTTCAGCTTGAACCCCAATATCTGTCTCTGGGTTTCTATTATTCATGTTGTATATTGGCACACAACGTAAAGGTAGGAATTCACAAAAAAAGCCAATTGCCTATGACTTTGAAGCCACCAGCCCCAAAACCAGACGGAGACACAACAAAAAAGAAAACTAAAAGCCAGTCTTCCTGATGAATGCAGGCACATGAATTCACAGTCACTATGATTACCTACACAAGACTGACACAAGATTCAGTCTACCAATATTCTAATAGGAGATGAGGGGGCTCAAGGGGTCCCACCCTTCCATGAGAACTCATAGGTAGTTAGTGCCTGCTAGGGGAAGGGCCTCCTGAGGTGCCCTTCTCTGAGGATCCATTGGTAGTTAATGATTGTTGGTGCAGACACTAGTAAACTGACCATACTCCTGTAAACAACCCTTCATCCGTGCTCTGTAAGCGAAGCTAATTAAACACACACACACACACACACACACACACTCACACACACACGACATGAAAGTTGAAGGCAACTAGTTAGAAAGAGAGGATCTTCTAGAATGGAAGTGGACCAGAAAGGGTGGTGGGACAACGTATATGAAATGTCATAACGAAGTCCATTGTTACATGTACTAATACAAATAAAACTAACAGTTAGGCTAAGAAGACAAAGACAAACCAGCATTAGCAACAAAAGAATTTTAAGACAGCAACAACGGAGCATAAAATCAGGCACCTTCTGAGTACAGATGGATTTGTAAGTGGCTTGTCTCTTATATGTGACCTGCAGTCTAGTTACAGGAAAGCAGCAATCATAAATGCTTTGATTGTAGCAATACAACTAAAAGCTTATTCAAACAACATACCTGAAACCACACCACCCATGATAAAGGTTACTGTTACTGCATGTTATCTTTAAAAAGCAAGAATATTAATCAGCATTAAAATTATTAAAATTACTATTATTAAAATGTTCACACCCTAGATTCTAAGAATTCTTGTGTCCTGGAGATGGCTCATTTGAAAGGATCGCTGGACCATTAGTCAGGAAGATGAGGCAGTCTAGTTTTGCTGCTTGAGACTCTTTGGTTGACTCTTGTGATGCACATAATTTTTCATTAATACCAGAATTAAGAAACAGTATCTCAAGTGGTGAGTTACCAACCAGTAGCTCTTGGCCTCCATTACAATGAAAGGATTTGAATTTTATACTAGTCAACTGTAAGAATTAGAGAAAGGGCTGGCATTTAGGATTAAGGCACCTGGAGACCCTGATACTGATTATCTGCTTCTTGGTGGATGGGGGGGGGGGACCCGAGGTCTCACTTGTGTCTATCATTACCTAACAGTGGTGTGTTGTTATGACTTCCACTGGGGTAGGGGTGGGAGTGGGAATGATGCTTGCAGTTGAGACAGACCTTATACTAGGACAGGACTTGGTTTGACAGAAGAGGTCTTTGGCTAGACAAAGGGAGAGGAGGGGCTGTACCTGTCAGGGAGTTCTTCCAGCAGCAAGGGGGTGTGTAATCTGTGTGTGTTTCCATAGTACAGAGATGGATCCTGGAAGGAGGAGAGCCAGCCTGTAGCCCTCTGGAATGGGGTCGTCTGTGTGGAGGGGTCATGGACGAGCCTGGGCAAAGGGAGATGCCGAGCCATCAGAGGCCACCAAAGCCCTACAAAGCCATTTTCAGGAAATAAGTGTGAGGTCAGCTCTAATTCCTGCCCCACATCCCATGGACTAAGAGACCATCATAGTGCTCCTGCTGGCTCTGATCCTGCTGGGTATTAGGTGGCAGAGTAGAGGTTGGGGGCAGTCAAAGACTACATACCTTAATTCACAGTCTCCATGGGGAGGCAGGTATGTGTCCCTGGGTGAGGATTAAAGTAATGACCAAAATATTTAATGGAATACTTGGAACAATCAAGTTTAGAATACACAAGACATAGAGGACTGTTAACCTCTATGTGAGCAGAGAGGTCCTGTGCCTTCCTGAAGGGCAGTGAGATATTGAGAGTTCTACATCACACACCAGACTGCCTGTTGGTTCACTCTGATTTGCTGATGAACCAGACATGGTTAATCCATTTTTAGTGTTATCATAATGTTTTCACTCATTAATGAATTCAATAAAGATTTATAAATTGCCTACCTCCAGGGATTAGAAAGTAACAAACACCACACACAGACACACACACACACACACACACACACACACATGCTACATTCTTCAATGGCTCACTATTACCATCATAATAAAATGTACACACCACTGCATGGGGAAGGACTGGCCTATTCCTGGTCTGCCAGCACACCAGGCTGCAAATACTGTTAGGATTCTATCTCTCATCTAATTATCCTCAGCTCCTGGTGCACACCAAGCCCTTCTTGAATATGCGTTAAATAAGTGACTAAATGTGTTTACATTTTTATCATATAATTTCTTTGTATATTGCTGTCTTTATGTGTAGGATAGGGTCTCCATTTTTATGTTGCTAATGCTGGGCCTGGCACTTAAGTGTTTGCAAGATGACTGGAAATGAAACCTGTAATATTTGTGTTTTGCATGTCTGGGAACCTTCTAACACTTTGTAAACAGCTAATTTTCAGTCATCCACTTAAATGGAAGAGGGAGGAGAGGATGGGGGTGGGAGGGTGGGGATGGGGCCTGAAGGGCTGGAGGTGGGGGGCCTAGGTGATGTGTGTGTTGGGGAGGGGTGGGCACTATCTAAACAATGACTTTTATTCTAGATATCATTGAGCCAGGCATAAGCCCTCTCCGGTGATCTCTCACGGCCTTCATTGTCTGGAGCCCATATGTACAGCACTACAGTGTGGGATCCCCGGTGAGAAGACCATAGATCTGCCTGGTTGGGCTGAATTCCTCTGCTGGGTCCCCAGCAGCCTCTGAAGCCTGACTCTGGGCTCTGTTTGTGGACTCACCATGGAGCAGGCAGAGTATGAGGAGAAGTAGTTTCCACCTTGTTCTCTGGCCGGAGACCTGCAACCAAAGACAAGAGGCCTGAGGGAGACAAATGAGAAGCCAGAGGGAGTGGCAGGGGGTCCAGGGCTGGCCACTCTGGCTGTAGGATCTGAGTTTGCTCCAGAGTGGGTGGTCCCACCTGAAAGGCAGAGCCAGAGGACTGCCTGTCCTGGGAGGTGGGGCTCTGCAGAGCGGTGCAGAGGGGAAAGAGCCCCTTCTAAGATAGAGTGCAGCTGGAACCCTAATGCTTGGAAGGCACTCGCAGGGATCTCTCTTCTCTGGGAAGACACAGCGGTCTGAGTCACTGGCAGACACTGTGTTGGGGGGTACCGCATTCCTAGGATGCAGGGTATCCTTCCTTTCTCTTTTAATACTTTCTCCTTGCAGAGGAGAGTTATTTCTTCTTGTGTTTCACTGCTCATGTGCGGCTAAGTTAGAACTAACCCTTGAACCTGTTGGCACTAGGGTGCCACTCTGTTTCTTCTCCTTGGTCTCTAGAAAACTCTCTCCGACCCTCGTCACCTCCATCTGACCTCCTGCTCTGCTCTCCTGCTGGCCTTGGGAGCTCACTGAAAGCAGAGCCTTGTGTCACATCCTTTTACTTTTAAACCCAGAAACTAGATTGAGCATAGTGTGAGCCCTGTGGGCAGCTACTGAGAGCAGGAGCCCAGTGCCCTCAGAGAACCCCAAAGGGGCCACTCTCAGTTAAAAAGGATGAGACTGTACCTCATACACATCGTCTGTGTTCTCTGAGGAATTTCATGGGTGCTTGGCGGCAGTTCCCTGGACCCACAGGCGACATTGTTTTTGCTTTTAATGTGAGCGTATACTTTACCAGTCTGAAGAATGATCAGTGCACCAACTTTACGTCAGTGGTTTGGCACCTAGGCAAGGAACACTCTTGACTCCCAACTATGCCACAGAAAGCCACTGGCCCGTTGTGCGGGATCGAATCAAAGGAGGGGGAAAGGGAATGGGAGTAGAAAGAGAGAAACAGGAGAAAGAGTAAAAGGGGGATAGGAGATAAAGGAGAAGGGAAGAGAGAGGAAGAAAGGAAAAAATAAAGACTTTAAACTAGGCTTCCCACAGCCGCTTGTCACCTGGCTTTGGCTCCTCTCAGTCATGTCTACTCCAGCCTTTGGCTGCCCAACTGCCTAGGGATCCAGAGAGGCTAGTTTGAAAAGACCCAGGTTTTTTGCATCTTCAAGCTCCCTCCACCCTACCACCATCAGCGTGTCCCCTCCCTTGGGCACTGTCCCCGACATTCCCTGGCTCCCACCCTCCCAGGCTCTCTCAGGATGTAACTGGACTAATCCTTAGTTTGATTAATATTCACCAAATCCAGGTTCCCTGCATGCCTGGTACTCGTATTTCCCCAGGCTACTGTTTCCAAAGTGCCAAGTCCTACTACAGTCCACACAAAGGCCAACATCACCATGCCGCCCAGTTCTTTTGAAGCCTGATGGTGAGACAGTATCTCAGCTTCAGGAGCAAAGCTGCCTCCATGGGGCAATGAGGAAGCATGGTGTGCGATAAAATAAAATGTCCCTAGCTACTTATCAGTCTTGATTGGGGACTGGAAGGATATCGTCAATGGAATGTCTCCAGTCACTCTCCCTGCCAATGACCTTCAGGGATCCTTTCTGCAGGAGACCTGGAGTCCCAGGCCTTTGTTTAGAGTTTAGGGCCCCCTGAGTCCTGCCGGGAAACACAGCCACCTCATTTTCATTACATGCCGGAGTGTGACTTTCCTGGCCACCCTTATCCCCTTTGAATCCATCCCACTTCCCTTCTACCTTCTTCCCCATTCTGTGGGATGGTCTGGCCTGAGCAGAGGGAAGAGCATAGCATCACCACTCTTGGCTTTGCTGGAGGCTGCCAAGTTGACCCCAATGCTTATTCTCCTCCATCACAAAAGAGGAGCCTTGCCTGGGCAGCTGTGTGTTCTGCATCTAACGTGTGCTGGTCCCGTCCTTCCCAGAGTTTCAAACTCAGAATACTTTGCTGGGACTGAGAAGAGGGTGCAGAAAAGAAACGCTGGAACCTGACCTCTTGAGTCTTCTCTGGCCTCTGGAAACGGGCCCTAGAGTACAAGTCACAGCTGCTGCTGCAAATGCTACCCACTCGCAGAGTAAGAGCCAGACTTCCAAGAGAAAGTCATGTTACCTTTTGTTCTCTGGGCTTAGCTTGGTCCATCCTAGTCCAGGGCAAAATTGAGTTGAACTTTTTTCTTTTATCCAAGGAGATGCTAGTGTTTCGGTGTCTGCAAGCTGCTTCCTTTAAATCTGGAGACTGAGGAGGCAAGATGATGTGTTGATAGTAGTGGGGGGGTGGGTCTGGAAGATGGGGACAAAAGCCCTGGTACTCACCTCCTGTCAGTTGTATCAGGGTCCCTTCTCTTTAGTTTTGCTGATGAGAGACAGTCAATTCTGGTCTCTTGTCCTCACTGTCACTTGTTTCTTTGGAATCTTTTCCAGGGTTGGTGACAGTTGCTTCAGGGAAACACATTGGTCCCTACTTTCTCTTCTCTTATACCCTGTTGGAGGCCCAGACTTTTAGGGTTCCCCATCTCAAAAGCCTACTTAGGAACCTCCAGAACCAATGATGCAATGACCTGAGCAGGACAGAAGGGGATTTCAGGGTTCAGGGGAGGAATTTCCCGAAAGCTGGACATCAACTGCTGCCCCACTGCTGACCTGGACACTTCAGCTCCTGTGAAGAAGGCGTTTAAGTGGTTTGGTTCAGCGACTTCAGTTTAGATTCACGCCCTGGTGCTTACCAGCTTGGTCCTGAACAAGGAACAATGGAATTAATGAGATGCTCTTCACAGAAAGAGAACATGGATAAGCATGGCCTAAGCAGATGAAAAGCATCACAGGAATTCCCCTTGGGAAATTGTCTATAGAGGCTCTTGTCTTAGCAAAAGATGCCGTGTTCCTACGTCTCCCGATCTTTTACTGATACAAGCTGAGCACTCAAAACAAAGGTGCTCAAAGGAGGAAGGATGCTGCGTCTGTGGTTTAGGACCCTTTCCAGGACCCCTCATAGATAATGATGCTCTTGGGCCAAATGAAAGGCCCTTCTTCCTTAGAATGAATCCAGTTGGTGCTTTGTTACACAACATGAGCAACCATGGGCATTTGTGGCTATTATCCAGTGCTTGCCCACATTGAAGATGTTGAAGTAGAAGTGGGATTTTTGGAGTATGGCTAGGACTGACTCTCTCTCTCTCTCTCTCTCTCTCTCTCTCTCTCTCTCTCTCTCTCTCTCTCTCTGTGTGTGTGTGTGTGTGTGTGTGTACTAGTGACTGTGACAGTCATGTCTACTTCTATGCCAGGATTTGGCCATCATAGATTCCCACTTGGTTCCCATTCCAGGGTTCCTGGTCTTCATCCCCATCAATGACCTTTTGGATACATAAGTTAGAATGCACCTGCAATATGAGAGGCATTGTCTTAGAAGTGGTACCCTTGAGTAGTGTGCAATATGAGGACCTGCACATGGCCCTGCCCCCAGAGGCTCATCCTCAGAATGAGTCATTCTCAAGCAGATGGTAGAGAGGTAGCTAAGGCCTGACTCCCCACCACACCACACCTCTGCTCCTTAGGAAACAATATCACACTGCGTTGAATCACATAGACTT